AGCATTAAGTCCAGTTCACCTGGTGCTGCTAAATACCTTCTACTAAAGAATTACTCTGTAGATAACGGTCAGATTCACTCATTTTTCAGATATTTTTGCAAGGTTACCATTTATTAGCTGTGATTAAACTCTTCTTTATGCAGAATGTTTCGAAAACATTCCCATGAAAATTGGTCAGTGTTATCTCAAAATGAATGAGATACTCACAGCCATGATTTTACTCATAAAAACATCAGATGAAGTGCATTTATGGTACCTGATTTTCAGACAGCAACACTACCAACATTAACACGGTAACACTAACATTTAAAATCTCTGAACTTGATAGCCTCTATATCACTACCAGATCACATGCATTGTTTGAACACTGGTTTATTTTCTTTAATGTCTTGGCTGGATGGAAACAGCAATTCGGTGTTTTGAAGTCAAATCGGGTATCAAAGGGAACAGTTTGGTCCCAGGTCAGCAGACGGTGTCAAACATTAACCCTTTGGATGACAAGCTTGGAATTTGGCCCACTTTTTTTTAAACACAGTCTGTTTAACCAGTCTGTGAAACGGGCATGCTTTTTGAACGTTGGACCATTCCAGTACTCATTTGTTACTACTGTGGTCTCACGTGGGAAAATCTTTGTATCAGTTTTATGCTCTCAGCTCTGTTTTCACCTGAGTAAATATAGCATTGGAGATATGAAGAAAAACATGGTCCTTAAAGTCTGCCACACTATTGGACTCTGCTGTAGAGTAATGCAAACATGCACGTTTGCTAACCTAAGGTCCTGACTCTTATCTGACTTGTGCTAAGCTAATATGCTCTTGGTTGTGGTTAACTGAACTGATGCTGTAAAAAAGAAACTAAACAGGTAAATTATAGAAGATATTCTACCATTCATTGTTACCTAAAGCTCATTAGCCACATTAAAATTGCCAGATGCATGGTAAAAAAAAAAAAGTTTAGGGAAAAAGCTCGTACTTTTAAGTAGGCTTTATGAAGTGGACGCAGGGCACATGGTGTCAAACATTTCTTTTACTTGCCCTTATTTTTTCAAACCTGCAGCTAGATACCAGTATGTTTTTACTGCATCCCCTAAATCAGTGAAATTATAGAGGAAACCATGGGAAAGATGCAAAAATGCAAAACTCTCAAAGATTTTGCTGGAGACTGACTCCAGCAGGAGTTGAAAATAGCTGCTCAAAATAGTTGTGGCGTCTCTTTAATTAGTGTCTCATGCAAAAAGGACAGAAAGCAAGCTACACTTTTTCACATAATTATGGTTTAATGAAGGTAATCGTTGGATTGCAAAGACAGAAAAGGACAAAAAAATTGGTTTGAATTCCCACAAAAGTTCTGGCACAGTGTATTTAGGATGAAAATGCAATGTTTCCAGATTTAATTACAGGTAGTTAAAAAACAGTTTACAACAACTGTTCACATTTTTGTCCAAAAAACAAAACAAAACAAAAAAGCACACTCCAATCCCTCATTTATTTGATATCAGATATGGTTGACAGGAGGGTCAACAGCTTGTGTTGTTTAGGATTATACAATCCTAGAAAATCCACCAGGAATTAATCTAAAACCAGAGCGTCAGTGAATGTTTACAACTAGAACTGGACCAAAATGCCTGTAGAGTTCACAAACCTCTGTCTGTAATTATTCTGTTGATCCTTCATTTAGATATCAGAGTATTAAAGGTTAGTAAAATGATATAAACCCACACTTGACTGACATGCTGAGCCTGTACTGCCCTCTAGTGTTGACAGAAATAATGTGAAAGCGTTAAGCTGAAGTGAAAGCAATTCAGAGCTTGTTTAACTTTGATTTGGTGAAAGTCTCCAGAGTTTAGGTCTGACTTTGGTGAAAGAAAACTGTCAGTATTTATATGATCTATTATTTAATATTCATGGGGAATAACAGGTGGTGAGACTTCTGAATGAGTGAAAGTGAAGACCTCCAAGAGATGAAGGAACTTCATGTATGTGAACATTATTTTTCTGCATGTTGCTGTCATGTGATGTCCGAGATGCTCATAATGACGTGATGGTGCTGCTTTAGTTTTGGATCATAGTGTGTTTGTTGTTCAAACTGTTGGCTTTAAAAAGTGTGTTTAAAATTTTCTTACACATCCTTTTAGATTTAACAGATGACTTTTCTAAGCTAACCACTATTCTGTCAACCTAAAGCTGTTTTTTTTCACTATATTTGTTGAGTTTATTCAGTACAATCACATGTAATTACATTAAATGTGGTACATGTACTATATAAATATATATTTGATAGTAATTTATTTGTAATTGTTTTAACATTTTGTATAATTTGTACTTTCCCCTTTTAACGCTATCTTTCAGTATTACTCTTTTTATTGTTATGATACTCTTTCTAATGAATTCTTCTACCAGTGTTTCTAATAATCTTTATGTACTTACTTCTAGTTTAGTCTTTTTTTTTGTCTGGGAATAGCTGCTTGTTTGCTTGTGCCAATGTCAATGATTAACACGTGCAGCTGTCTCTTTGCTGTTGGTCCTGCTGTCTGTCAACATTAAAGGTGAAACACGACATTTTTCACGCAATTCAAATGGAAACTTTGCTGGTTTTTCTTACATCTCACTGTCTACATTGTTATTAGAAACTTTAAATACTTATGTAGGATTATTTTTTTTTTTTTTACTGAGAAATTGAATAGCTCTGTTAAAGGGTAATACTGTCATTAAAATTTAGAAAAGTTATTTGGGAAGGTTAATATTCCCGGTACAAATTTAAAAAAAGTTGTACAGAAGGAGGTCATAGTCTGTTTAAAAATTAAGCCAAAACCAGTGCTTTTAATTTGTATTACTTTCAATGGCCAGCAGGGGGCAGATCAACCTTTTTTTAGGATCAAATATAAGATGACAAGTAGAACACACATATTTCTCTACTATCATCCTAATAGCATTTATGTTTTTGTTTCAAGTCTTTTCCATCACCACATGTTGTTCGTAATGACAGACCATAATCAGACAGTGGAGCAAATTCACTAATGATGGACCACAGGTGCTACTGGCATCAAAACTGGTCGTCATTTGCCCCTTTTATATGCTCTGTCTCAAGGCCAGTAAAAAGATAATTAGCTAAATGGGGTGGAAATACTTGAGTCAAATAAACACAAAGCTATGCACAGTTTTATTTAGCTTTTATAAAAAAATCACAATTATATATGTATATATATATATATATATATATATACATATATATATATATATATATATATATATATATATATATATATATACAGTTAGGGAGTGCCAGTTAGTTTCACTCTGACTTCACAAACCTTGTCTAAACACTTAATAATCATGGGTTCCTTTAGGCAGCTGTGTAGGACAGTAAAAATTCCCACAATGCAGAGAACGACTACAAGAGGGTTGTAAAATGTTACCAGCTTGTAGTTTTTATAGTGCAATATATAATTAGGAGATGGCAGGTGAAGGGAACTGTGGAGGTCAAACTGAGATCTGGAAGACCAAGGATCTCTCAGAGAGAACAGCTCAAAGACTGGTCAAAAAAGGGAAATGAAAACCAACATTTGACTGCTAAAGACCTGCAGCAAGATTGAAAGGACTCAGGAGTGGTTGGACACTTTTCCACTGTGCAGCGATACTTGCTAAGACAAGACTTCCATGGCAGAGACTGCAGAAGGAAACCCTACTTTTGTCCTCATCATATAATACAACGTAAAAAATATGCAACAGAACATCTACAGAAGACTGACGGGTTTAGAAACAAGAAGTGCTGTGGACTGATGAAGTGAAAATAGAGCTCTTTGGCCACAGTAAGCAGAGGTATGTTTGGAGAAAAAAAGGAGAAGCATTTTATGAGAAGAACACCTCATCCAGTGTCAAATATGGGGGTGGATCGATTATGGTTTGAGGTTGTGTTGTAGCCAGTGGGACGGGAACCGTTACTCGGTGGAGGGAAAAGTAGAAATACTAATTACCAGCTAATTCTGGAGGCAAATATTACAGCATTGGGCAAAAAGCTTAATGGCCTCTACAACAGGATGGTGATACTAAACATACATCAAAATCCACCATGGACTAACTCAGGAAACACAATCTGAAGGTTTGTATTGGCCTTCACAGTCTCCAAACTTGAACATCATTGAGAATCTGCTGGGAAATCTTAAAGCGTGCAACATGACCCAAGAATATCACAGAACTGGAGGAATAGTGGGAAACCCCAAAGAGCAAATTCCAGAGACTTGTAGTCGGCTATGTCAAATAGATGTTTTATAGTTTCGTATTTTGTTTAATTTATGAACCAAAAGTAACGGCATTAATTTGTCTCTGATAATATTGTCTTTGAAAAAACAGAAAGGTAAACAAACAGATAAATGTAATAATATATGATATGTTGTTTTCAGGGAGTGCACAAAATTATGCATACAACTGTATCTTGACTCTTTATAAAAAATAATAATTCATATTATAACAGTTTAGAAATGTAGTCAATCTCTCTGTTGCATTTACCTCATTCATCTCGCCACTGGATGAAACCGTGATGTACTAAAGGTTTGGAAGAGTCTAAGTCCTTGTCCTCTTACCCCTCTGGTAAGTATAATTTTTGTCATACTGACGATGATTTACGACACTTTGACTTGTTTTGGCATGTTGTTGTGATGATAATCGCTCTGAATTTGAGGAACCATTTAATTAAGCTTCTGAAGAGGACCTGAACCATTTCCCCAGTCGGAACACGTGATTTGAAAGTAAATGCAGAGTTTGTTTTTGTTTCTCGGACGAGCTGTGGGGGGAAGGAGGCAGCGGGATCAAACTGCCGATAGGAGGAAGAACAGTCCCGGATAAAGTATGGCTGAACTTTCAAAATAAAAGCATATATAACGCTTGACAGCAGTTCTCTACTGAAGAAAGGACAGGTGGGGAGGTTAAGTCTCTTCCATGTACTATTACAGGCCCTGGCTGGTACTATATGCTGGACCAAGCTTTGCTTATTTTTGGTTTAGGAAAGGGAAAGCAGACAATAGTCCTGCAGATGTCAACTGCTGTGTAGCAACAATTTATGCTTTGAAAGAGGACAAGTGATAATACTATATATAGTTATTTGATATGGTAACATGGTAACAGTAACAACTGGAGGTGAAAAGACCACCTTGTGTCTCTTTTATGTATGATTAAAGTATTCTAATTCTGATTACAGGGTTATATCTTTTTCATCATTTCATCATCTTTGTTTTGGATACATAGTATAAGCTGTAGTTTAGCCTCATCAAAGTTGTACACTGTTAACTTCTGCTCAGGAATAAATGGAGAAAAAGAAAAGTTATAAACTTTCCTGGCATGTATATCTTCTCCTCATATTGATACACAGGGTTCATATTTTTTTTATTCGGATCAGAGAAAAACATGAAGAGTGACATTGTTAGAAACAGAAATAATAATAATAATAATAATAATAATCATCATCATCATCATCATCATAATAATACATTTTTTGTAGGTGCCTTTCAGGGCACTCAAGGACACCTTACAGGACAATTAAAGACACATCAGTAGGACAAAATAAATAAAAAACACATCAACACAACAAAGTTTTAAATAAAAAGTTTTAAGTCTGGACTTTGCAGCAAAACATCAAATGCTAGTTAGAGTAGGCCTTTCTAAAATTATGAGTTTTCAGGCGGGATTTGATTTCACAAAGGGAAAACTGGGAGCAATTGTAACACTCAATATTCCCAACAGGAATCAGGTCGTTCTTATAACACTTGTAAATTCTCAGTTCAATGCCTGCTGGAAATAAATGGGTTCACTTCACCACAGTAGGAGGTATAAAGGAAAAAGAGGTGATTAGGTTGAAAAGTGTTTCTTTTTTTTCTTTGTATCTTTCTGTATCTGCTTTTGGGGAAGAATAGTCTACGGTTTAGATTGGGATTTTAGCATACTATGGTTTTTGCTGTTGTTTACAAATTGCATGATATGCACTACATCAGTGGTTCTCAAGTCCAGTCTTTGAGGCCCACTGTCCTACATGTTTTGGATGTTTCCCTGCTCCAACACACCTGATTCAAATGATCAGCTCGTTATCAAGCTCTGTAATGGCTCAATAACGAGCAAATCATTTGAATCAGGTGTGTTGGAGCATCCAAAACATGCAGGACAGTGGGCCTCGAGGACTGGACTTGAGAACCACTGCACTAAATCAAATAAATAGCCCAAAACTGCTTATGTAGCAGGTAGTTTCAAGTATAGCCTTGCATCATTTCACATCTCTTTTTTCCCTTTTTATTAATTAAAAAAAACCCCAAAAGCCATGACTGTTAAAAAAAATCATCCCACTGATGCCTTTACTCAAAGCTGGTTTGGCAGAGTTGCAAATCACTATTCATGTTCACCACTCAGCTTTCACTTCATTAGATTTTATTTTGAAAGTTACAGCGGAAGTCTTATCCTTTCATTGTTAACTTTACACCGAGGGAAAACAGCCGGGCAACAGCTCCTTTCAAGAGTTGAGGACCATGGAAGTAGCCGCCGGCTCTGCACAGAGTCTGTTCACTGATTTTCCTCTCTGAAATACCTGAATACTCTTCTAAATCATCGCAGCCAACAATCCCCGACAGCAGGCCGCCTATATGGACTTATTATGGTGCTGAATTTCCCTGCAGCTCGTCGCAGAAACGGAGTTTTCTTTGGCCAAACTGGAGTAACTATCACCCCGGAGCTGGTAAGTGAGCTCTCCTTTGTGTTGACTCTCTGCTGTGGCCCCAGTTTGCCCCCTTTACTAACACTTCATACCTTAAGAAATATAAGATCGGAGCCACTTGGTCATTATTTATCACCACACCATAAACAAACTCGCAGTATTTACTACACTGAGAGAGGAATCCTGCAGGTCGTGTTGAACAAGTTATCACCACCTGTTGCGCGACGTCAGTGTTTAACCAGCCGCGATAGAAGCGACCGCACCAATGATACTCAAGCATTTCCCATGACTGTCAGCTGTGATTTGTTTATTTTGCACTTGTCTTGACATGATGGACTGAAGCTGTGCATGTGAAAAGTTAACCAGACTGTAAAACATCAACACTGAATTCCTTAAAACCTCACCAGTGTTTCGGTCTAAAGGGTGACTGTGTTGACTGACGACTTTGGGCCAAATACCTCAAGTTTTTGGAGCCTGCGTTTGGGCCTCAGAAGATGTATGTTTTCAAGGTACAGAGCTCAACAAAGCCTGAAATCACCTCAAAGAAACTAATTTTACGGGAGGCAGCGTTACTGACCATGAAATCCACCATTTCTGAAGAGATCTTATCCAGATTACAGTACTTTTAATATCTGTTATAGAGTTAGTAATGGATCATTAAGGGGGCAGCTGGCACCTGAACCTTAAATACTCCAGAGACCACCCTGGACCAAATGTCATGCAATATTCAGAACTTAAGTGTTGGACTCAAAGGCCAAAGCATTTCTGAAAAAAGGACCCCAAGACCAAACTGCTTGGAGTTATAAGGCGGCCCTGTGTATGGGCTAACTAATCCTTAAGGCAGGTCTGAATGCTGCGTTCGAGTTACCTCAGAAGTCAGAAGTCCGAGCTGAAAATGACGTCACACCCAAGTTACCAGCATTTCAGTTACCAAGTTGGAAAAAAGCAAAATCGGAGGCCTGAAGCAAGATGACTACATCTACGAAAGTTATTTTAGCACTTGCCTTATATTCAGACAAGCCCAAAAATAACTTTCGTAGATGTAGCCATCTTGTTTCCGCCTCCAACTTTGCTTTTTTCCGACTTGGTAACTGAAATGCTGGTAACTCGGGTGTGACGTCATTTTCAGCTCGCACTTCTGACTTCCGAAATAACTCGAACGCAGCATAACTCTAGGCTTATATCTGATGTCGACGTCATAGTAAATAAAGACACATTTGGGAGGATGCTTTTCATTTGTGAACCACTATTGTAGCCATGACAACCACTGACACATTTGGCTGAAAGTCACCCTTTGGTACGGGTTGAACTTTGGGGGAGAAAAGTTTTTTTACTTAATCTCGATCCCGAGAACAAAGGACCCTGTTTCGTTTTACAACCTCCTTTTGTCCCATCACCTCAAATTCACTCTATTTCTATAGGGTCAACTTTGCTCTTCATTTAGTAACAAATTAAGGTTTGGACCAATCAGAACCAGGTTTTTAGATCAGCTGGGTGATTAGGTAGAAAGTTGGTGATAAACTCAGTTAATTGGTAAAACAGATTTTACAAACGTTACAGCACTGTAACTAGAAGTGGAGAGGAAAGTTGCTACAATAGAATAATTAGCTCTGAACTATCATGTTAAACAAATTGACCTTATCTCCAGGAGTCTTCTAGCCTGCAGCATCTGTTGAAGCAGTGTGATATTTCAGCTCAGCCCAGAATTCCACCTTTCTGCAGTGGGATTTTGTCGCTGGTGACTCAAAGCTCAGCTTTCCTTTGGCCCTGAATGCCTCCAGCTCACAGATTGGTGTGTCATCTATTGTTTGCTTGGTAATTAGTCTGCTGTTCAAAAGTGGCTCCCAGGCGTTGTCAGGGTTCCCGCACTGTAAACTTACCTATGGCCACAAGTCTCCCACAGTATATCTTCTTCCCTTCAGGGTTCAGTTTTCATGAAAGAAGCATAAAAAAGAACCAAAGCATTTCCTGGTACCGGCCAAGACGCCGGTTTTTCAATCTCCTCAGAAATCTGCTAATGTGCTTAGTGCTCAGTGTTGGGGACAAATCAGACCAGTACTGTTTTCTTCCTCAAACCTGAGTCACAGGTCAGGAATTCAAGAGTGTGTGGATTCTGCAGCTTGGATGTTGTTTCACCACCTCCTTTCAGTTCTTCCCTAAGGTTGAGGTAAGGAGTTATGAGGTAGGCCAGGTCAAACATAGGTGGATAAATGGATAGCTGTAAAATTAGTGTAAGGTCTTTACATCAAAAGTGAGAAAGATGCGTAAGAAGGAGCAGTAACATGGAGTGTATCATGGGACTGTGGTCAAAGGAACTGTGCTTGCACTTTGGTAATACACACCTCTCCTCCCAAACTCGATGGCTGAGTTTGTTTCACTTCCAGAAACTGTGCAAGTTATTTTAGAACTGACGTCATATCAAATCTGAAGAGTCAGGGATCATTCAGTTCTTGCATTAAGAGAGGGGAGTGAAGCTCTAGCCATGAGGAGAAGTTGTCATAGAAGCTTTGAGTTGAAAATAAGAGTGCAGATCTTTGGTGCTGTCCAATACTGTAAAATATAAAATAAGCTGTATTGTTTCAAGCTTGTAGTGAAAAGGTGTCAATGATTTTGACAAACTTAAAGCTTTTCAAACTGAAACAACAACAGGGGAAATTTCAGCTTCACTAAGTCAAGTGCTCAGGGCTGCTGACTTCCAGGATTTTGAGTCATGTCAGAATGAGTGAGTGAACAGTGACTGGTTTTGGGTATGACTGAGGCAACACTGTTAACTGAAGTAAGTTGGGGTGAACTCAAGAACTCTGATACACCTTTAGACCAAGAGAATTCATATTCATCTTGTGTTGACAGTCTGGGTCTCTTCAACAGTATTGTAATGCAGCTGTGCTGTCGCCACACCTATGTACTTATAGATGATCCCACAACTGTAATAATTGCTTAATGATGGCGTCTCAGAGTGTCCTTTTATATTGTGTTGTGATGATGTGAAAGCACAAGAGGTAAACACACACCAAAAGAGCTCCACTTTCTCACACTTAGTGCTGTCCTGCCCTGTCTGCTCCACCTCTGTTACACCTCTTTCCTGACTTAATTCACATTGGTACTTGTTTCTGGTTATAATAAGCATAGATATACAAGATCGTAATCTGCAAGGCATAATGGTTTTTATTGTTATTTAATTATTGTAAATTATAAGCTCAATTTCCCCCTACCATCAAACAGCAGACAGAGGTCTACTGTGCTATTCAGCACACTTTACTGTATGTTAACACATACCTTTTGGAAACCATGCCGACAGTATGTTATTTCTGAGGAGTTGAGTCTGAACCCTTGACCACATTTTTTTAAACACAGAACCCGTTTTAGTCCACAGGATATTGCCCAAAACCACAGAAATGTGGCCAGCTACCCTGACCTCCAGGGGAGAGGAACTACAAGGAAACCGGGTCAGATCTATTTGCTGTCGTTGTTGAGCTGGGCTTAACATGTCTGATGCAAAGTTCTTCAAGTAATGAAAATCGCTGTTGAACCAGGATTTGTCGGAAGCACTTGAACCGAATCATTTAACCTTCTGACTTTTTCATGGCTCCCTCTTTCCTCCAGTGTCACCTCCAAATTAAAATCCTGTTCGTAAACTGAAGAGCTTTAGATGAGTACTTCTATTACTCCAGCTGCATTAAGCTTTTTGAGGTCACTAGTCCAGTTGTAAGCAGTGTCCTCTCAGTTCAAGAAGGGTTATGGTTCAGATCCTTGGTTGGACGGGAGTGTGCAGGTTCTGATGCATGTGTTGAACCTTTCTGGCATTCTCTCTCAGTCAGTGCTTAAAGGGTTAATTAGTGACTCTTAACTGCCCAGAGATGTGAGTGTCTGCATGAATAGTTGCTTGCCTCTACTAACAGTGGACCTGTCCCGTGTGAACCCCTACCCTTGACAATGACATGACCGCAAATGGGATGACTGGTACTTGGATAATGGGCATTCATGGGTTGTACTCATTGATGACTCATGAATGAAAAGAGACGTCTGTCGCTCTCATCAGCATTTAGCATTCTTTTATCATAGTAAAAAAAACACCCTGCACCTTTTATTTACCCTTGTCCTGTCAAAATGTGTTGGAAGAGCCACACAAATGGATCTGTTACTTTACAGTTTAAACATGTTTTATTCACCTGTATTTACATGGGACAGTAAATAAATAGAGTTTAAATGAAGTTTCTCATTGTTACATTTTATTTGGTAAGAAGCATTTGTGATTCACCCAGAATATTCTCACCCCACTTTTGCTAGTTTTGCTTATATCTGAAGGAAACTAGTACAATTAGTTTGAAACTTCAGAAGAGAGACACCATGGTCACTGCCAGAAGAAGACATGACAGCTATATTAAAGTCTTGTCCCACTGCAGCATTCTTGCATTTGGGGGACTAAACATAATGTTCTTAGCTTTTATTTCTGTCTTTTTAAACAGTTTTAGTGGAGAAATAAAAAGCTGTTGTCCACAATGCCACACATTTCAGTGGCCTTTTTAATAAAACCGTTAAAGAAGCATTTAAAAAAACAAATTGACTCTGAAATATCTGTGTTCTGGTGGTGCACTCTGGAGCTGATCTGTATTTTAGACAGCGCCCACACTGAGCAGGTATCGGATTGAACAGAGGAGATTGTTTAGGATTGGAAGTCAAACAGGAGGACTGTTAAGACCTGCCAGTTAATCTTGAACCAGGAAAAACACTATTTATGGACACCCAAATATGCGTTAAAATTATTTATCAATGGTGAATATATTGTCAACAACTGTGACACAGCTGCATGTGATCCATGTCAACCACAACAGCATACAGAGATAAAAAGCCAATGTGTCTCTGATTATTATTGCCAGGACTGTGGAAAACATAAAGAGTCCCAATGGATACTTCTTTGTTCAGTTATTCATTAGAGACAAAGCTGATGAGCAAATTTTGACATTGTAATGAAAAGTGGACTATGTAATTTTTAACAGCTGTTGTAACCTTGACAACCCCACATCAGTCAGAAGTGAACGGTTTGTTTGCAGCACCAGTATTGGACTTGGGAATGATCCAAATCCAACCACGAGAGGAACTTTAACAGTTTACAAAACTATGTTGTAGTTCCAACCACAACAAGTGTGAAGATCTCTTTGAAAGTTTCCTTTTTGGTGTGAACCTAAATAAGCTGTTTGTGACAACTCTTAACATTTCTTTTTAAAGATATTCAGAGAGAGCGAACTGGTCCTGTGTTTGGCACTTGTGGTTGACTTAGTTAATGTAGTGTATCATGAGGAGCATCTTGGGTTTGAAGCTTAATTTAGACATTTTTTCATGGAGGTCCACCACGCATAGTTCAGCATTTTTATCTCTGTGGTGCAGACTTTGAGTCCTGGGTGTGAGTCGGGGTGTAACGTGCAGGGCAAATGCTTTGATAGCTGTGGCTGCAGTGAACTCCCCCGACTGTCAATCAAGATATGTGTGTGCACATGTGTGCAGTTTCACTGCAGTGTGGTTGGTTTTTCCATGTAATGAAGCTCTGTCCCACAAATCATAGACACACCCAGCTAGCGTGAGGGAAATGTGTTACACTTAACACACTTTTAAGGAACTAAACATAGGCTTTGTATAAGGAAACGAAATAGTTGCCATCATACTCCCCGGTCCCCAGTCCAACCACAACCCACAGGAAATCCCATCAGACGGCAGAGAGGCGCGCAGGAATGGTGGATGTTGACGGGTCAGGAGGTTCGTTTCCAGAGCTGCTGATTCCAGCTCAGTGCCCCAGTTCACAACACAGCCTGGACTTTTGGTTTAAGGCAAGGGCAAACTCTGGAAGAAATGCATGTCAGGTGGTTGGGTATCTCCTTGAAACCTTCACAACTTTGAATTAAGGGGAGTGTATTCAGCAGTTTTCGTTCCTCTTGCTCCACAGTTGTGTAAAACCATTTAGAGCAGGTATAAACAACCTATTTCTTTCTTTCTCATGTTTTTTTTTTTTTTTGGTTTCAAACAGTATTTCCTTCTGCATGAATCTTTCTTTTTGCAGCAGCAGGGATGATTGTTACCCCTCTAACCTGGCCGGAGGTTATTTCTTTTGTGCAGAATTATCAAATGATGAACAGCCTCATGCACCCTACTGCAGTATCCAGAGATCTGCGAAGCTGCCCAGACCTTCTGTGTCCTCCTCAGACTTTACTGAATGATTTCTGTTTCGAGGAGCGTTTTATAGAACAGTCACTTCACCCAGAATAAAGCTGACAACAAGTCAGTGCAGCATGTGTCTTGTTCATTAAGCTTGGAGGATATTTTGACACCTCCATCCCAGGTGCCCCTCTTTCTCTCTCGGGTAACCTTCGTAAGTAACCCCCTGCCCCCGAGGTCAAGGTCTGGAGCTGGTTTGTGTTCTGTACATGTGGAAAGGTAATAAAGCAGCAGGGTTATAATGAGGGAAACAGAGATGACAGATCTGTCTCTCACACACACACACACACACACACACACACACACACACACACACACACACACACACACACACACACACACACACACACACACACACACACACACACACACACACACACACACACACTGAGCCAAATGACTTTAAACTCCTGTTGTGTTGGTAGTTTCACAAATGAGAAAACACAAACACACAAAAGTACTTGTAATAATTATTAAAGAAAGTAAATGTATAATTTTTACAGATAAATTCCACCTGTGTCAAACCTAGAAGGCTTACTGCTGCTGCTACATTTGTGAGGTATGATGAAACAATCCAATGTGGCTGAAATAAAGTGTGTGAACCAAAGGTTCAAAAGTTTACATGCCCTAACTCAACGTTCTCAGAAGACAGGCTTGGACACGTTGTATGGGCCTCAGGCTGTGTTTGGCTGTTAGTCACTACCAATATTTACATGAAAATATGGGCTTTAAGTTTCACTGTTACAAGGTTTTAGAGACCGGAAAGCAGTAAAAGTACAATCTGTATTAATTTCCTGTACTTTGTCCTCATTACGCATCAGACAAACCGTTTGTTCGGTTCAAATATTTACCCTATCATAACTTGGAGAACTTCTGCTGAATGTTTTGTCACTTTTAGGAGCAAACAGCACTATAGTTTAACTTTTAAGATGCTGGTTTAGCTCGTGGGTAGGGGACCCATGTACAGGGGCTACAGTCGTCATGGCACAGGTCATGGGAGTACGTCACTGTCCACTCCTTTCCCCGTGTTTATGGTCTCTCTTAAGCTGCAATTTCAAATTCTTAAAAAAATCAAATAAATATTGCAGTGATTCAACTCTCTTCATTGATTGGTCAGCTTTGGAAAGATGTAAAACAACAGGTAGATATTTTCTGGCTACTTTTTCTTTCTTTGCGAACACAAATACTTGTGTTATGTCATCAAGTGTTACACAATGAACACTTAAAGGGATGAATTGTTTGTAAATCCTTGTGATTAATTTGGCTACTACAAACTCATTCATAACACTCAGGGATCTTGGATGCAGATCAAGCGCTCAGTGGGAAGCAGCCCAAAGGAGGCTATTACAGCAGGCTTTAACACAGCGATACAGAAGGGCTTGTCTGAATGGGAGTAGAATAAGTTTGTTCATAATCAAACAGCCTGACGTATAATCCAGATTGTTTGGACATTTCACTCAGCTCCAGGAACACCAGCTGTCAAAATGCTGCGTTATTACACTCCCATAAACACTGAAACTCCATGAGAAAGCACAATGAACCTCAAAGGGACAAGAGCAGCTGAATCAACAGCAGAAAGGAGAGGCAATGACTTTTATTCACACCCCAGGTTAGCGGAAACTGACTGAATCAAACAGCAACACTCACACTTAATACATCTTCACAGCTGTTGGTGGGAAAACATTTCTCTGTGGAAATGTCACAACCTTTGTGTGAGGGCAGGTCAAGACTGTATGAGTTAATTAGCTCTATTGAAATGCCTACTTTAATAGCCAGTGATGACATGAAAAGGCATGCAGTTTGTCCGACTTCCCGTAAAATGAAACAACAGAGAGGTTTAATCGGTATGAGGCGGCTCAGACGTAAGCTTTCTCGCTCTTATAGATTAACTCACCAGAGAAAAGTAGAAACCCAAACTCACACATTGTGTCAGTGTTTCTTAAGAGTCTAACTGTAAATACAGCTTAGCTGCTGTGGAACAAATATGAGCATTCAGCTACACATTGTTTGAATGTGTCTCCCAGGACTAAGCTGCTAACCCCCCTATGTCTAGACACCCCTCATACTTATCCTTATTTCACAGTTTAAGACTGAAGCGTTCCCCCTGAAGGTCAGTGGGACTTGAGCTGTTGGCTTTTAAACTGAACTGGCATGTAAGTTTAAAAATCAGATTTTTCTTTTAGCTATATTTTGGGTTGAGTGTTTTTTAATCAACATTTTGGGTGAGAAAAGAGTCAAAGTCAAAGTCTGGTTAACTCCTGATTTTTGACCAAATGTGGGATTAGCTTTTATAGTTATCATGCAACCGCAGGGCTTAACAGCAACTTTTTTTAGAAGTAGCACATTTGCTACTAAGTTGAAAAAGTAAGAAGTACTCAAAGAACTTAAGGGGCACAATAAAAATTGATCAAATAATGTGTGTCTTATTGGTCGACATAAGTACTATTATTTGAAATCAATCTTAGGTCAATTGGTCAAATGTAGTGGAAGCTATTGAAGAAAATGTTCAGAATTTGCCTTTAAAGTTAACACAAACATTTTTAGAGGAGAAATTAGAGAAATAAAGAATGTGTCTTATCGTCCAATCTTATTGCTATGATTTGAAATCAATTTTAGATTAATTGGTTAAATGACATGGAAGCTATTGAAGGAAAACAGCCTTTTTTGAGAACATCAACAAGTAATTTATTGATGGTCCCTTATTCAACACCCGACGTTGACAGCGAGGGTGCCGAGTAGATTTAACCGTGCAGCTGTTGCCATTCCCGGTAATAGAGCGAGAAGACGCCAGTAGATCCTCAGTGAATGTCTATCAGGTATCTAATCCAAAAAGTAACTTCACCGGGGTGTAAATTTAACTGTGCTGCTCCTGCAATTCCTGGTTATGGAGAGTGAGAAGACACCGGTAGAACACCGGTGCATGTCTGTCGAATATCCAACCTAAAACTAACTTTGCCGTGGTATTTACATGAAAAAACATTTGTTACCTCGGCTGATTTTTTTTTATGCACACATGCCACTAAATACATTTTACAATTTGCACACATCTATTTTTAGTCGCAAATGCAAGTGAGCCCTGACCTGTAATGTTTTTTTCTTTGTTGACATATCTGGTTGTTATGTGATCAATTTTTACAGTTTACGGTTTCATCTTGTTCACTATTGCATAACAAAGAGTTTGTGGACTCAGCAGCGGAAGTGAAAACATTGTTTTATGCAATTGCGGTTTATCTGGTCTTGATGCCGTAGTAGCTTACATAACTCGATGTCTCCATGATGGAGCCAAATAAAACAACTATGTGAAAAAAAAATAGATTTTAACCAAACCCAAGCAAAGAATCACGTATTTATTGATTCTTAAAGGTAGGGTTGGTAATCTCGGCAAACTAGCATGAATTTGAATGTAGCATCTCCTCGGGACTTCGCCTAGCCCCTCCCCCCTCCCCTTGGAGCTCCTCCAAAACAACGCCGCCGCTCACATGCACGAGCGCTGCTGTCTGCTGATTCAAAACCACAGACTCAAAACTGAATTGGGAAGTCTTCTCTCTGTCGCTTAAAAGCTGTCCCAGTGGTAACTTTAGTTTTCACTTTTGCTTTCTCCAAACTCTGTCTTGTTTCAGCCCTCTCTGCCTCCGTGTTTCTTTTCTTGCTCTTTTTTGCAGGAGGAGCGGTCACCATTAATCTTGGTATATGTAGTTTCTCTGCCATTCTCCAGTGTAGCTGTACTCCTCTCAGCACATTGAATCAGGGCCAGTGCACGCTGGCGACATGTACCCACAGCAGACGAGCATGGGGTTTGATTTAAAAATTAAAAAATGTTGGACCCACACGATTTCGCTCTTTTTTAAGAACCCATCATGTATTGATTGCCATTGGACATAAAGATCATTTTAACCAGAATAACAAAAAGTGTATCTAAATCAGATTACCAACCCTACCTTTAATTCATTAATTTCTAATAGAGTGGTGTATTTGGTGCTAATTTCAAATGCTGCCGTCCTCATGCTTTGTTTGAAATTTGCTTCCCCTCCTTCTTCAGAATTAACAGGAGAAAAAATGGATTATTCAAAACCCAGTGTTGGATTTAGTTCAGTTGCAGCTTATTTTTATAAATTCTGAAAGAGCTTAATTATGAGACCATTTGTAATCTCCTGAAATCTCAGATTTTCAGTGCAAACATGTTGAAGCAGAGTTGGGGTCACTCTGGTACAACTTCACCTTCTTCCAAAGTGCATGGAGGAGGAATAAAAGTTGAAAGAGTCAAAACTTCATTCAGACCAAAGTCTAGAAACAAAGTAAGAGATTAGCTGCATCCCCCTTTTTAAAGAGCCTTTTTTACAACATGGATAATCACATCATAGTTCTTGGTATTACCCAGTCCCCTTACCATAATACTTCAGACGGACCTGTATCTCTTAGAAACTTTGCCTGAGTTTTCAAAAGAGTTAAGATGGTAGGTCAGTGGACGTGACTGAATTCTCTTCATCATACAGGAACAAAACTGCAGATAGCTGGTATCTCCAGCTGGTCTCAGCAAATCTTCTCCTCACTCAGAAGACTATCGAAACATGGAGTTTCCTTTTGCTGCCATTAGGATCATATGGAGACACAGTTTTTGAGTCATGTTTTATAAAGAAAATATTGAAACCACAAGTCCCGAAGTGTCTCTGATGTTTTCAATGTGATGATAATAGAGTGGCATATCATAATGATTCACTGTCCATCTGGGCTTTGATAATAATCCAGCTGTGTAGCAGACATAGCATTGTTTTGTCTTAACACACACACACACACACACACACACACACACACACACACACACACACACACACACACACACACACTTAGTTGGTCAGTGGTAGACAACTGGCAGTACAGTGTTTATTTTTCTTGCACTGGAAACCACAGGGGCCTTCCTGCTTACCAGGCCTGGACTGTGAATCACTCACACACTTGCTGTCACACTACTGAACAGTCACAAGTTGTGCTCTGACCAAAACAACCGTGAAAAGCCTACAGCACTTCTTTGTTTTAAAAAGAGGAGGGGGGTTGGCCTAGCGGAGCCCCTCTAGAGAGGTGAAGAGGAAAAGGGGAGCAGTGAGAGAAACAGAGACAAAACAGAAGTTGCGCCATTTCTGTCACTCTGGTTTTCTTTCCAAGAACTAAACCTGTTCCTCCCTCTGTTTCTCAGCCCTGCATGCACACACACGCTAGCTGAAAACAGAAATCTAATCCAGTAATTTCCTCCTTAGCCCAAACCCTGGAAGCCTTGTAGCTATTCTGTGAATGTGTTTACATTCACCTTGACTGTAGAAACCTAATTATCTACTTTCATAGACTTTGTTTTCATCAGGCGACTCTCAACATTTAATTCCCTTAAACCAGTTTAGAAATAAATGCACCTCAGCTGTTTGGAAAGTGAAATGGGATTACTGTAGATTAAGTTGCTGGAGTTGCTGGACTACTGTGTCAATAGTCCATACTGAGTCTAAATAGTATGTAACTTTTTAAATAACGTTTTTGTCTGTTCTATCCTCTGATCAGGAACAAGCATTGATTTGGTTCAGTTTGTATCAGTTTCAAGCATTTTGTAAAATACTGTCATCCGTAAATTTCTGACCTCTTATCAAGAAAGCAGTAAGTTAAAGAAAGGGGGTCGCCCAAAACCAGTCCAGATGGCCAGTGTGTGTCAGAGGAGGGATTTTATATACACAGGGCTTCTTGATTATGGCAAAAACTGTAATATTGGTTATTTTGACCGATATTGACATCAGGATTATTGAAAATGAAAACCCATGAATTGGACTCATTTATGCAACTTATAACCCCTTAAAACGTACAAACTCTCTCTCTTTTCACCTTGACAGTTGTTAGCACTTGTGTTCGCTTACCCTCTTACTTTGTCCTTTGGCTTTTCAGACACCCACAGAAACACACACCTGCCTCCTCCTGTTCCTCTCCCTGCACTCCTCTCTCCACCTGTCGCTGCCTGATAGCTTGCACCACCAATGCACAACACATTGAAGATTCAGCGATCCACCGTCAAATTTTTATGACTGTGGTGGGCCAACATCATAATCAAATTCGAAATCCAATCAATCGCCCAGTTCAAATGCACATGATATCAGACAAGCTACTCATGAGGCCTGACATATGGCCCACCTTTGGGGTTGCTGGCCTCCCTCAGACTAAATACACATGTGTTGGTTCACTAGATATGCTTGGAAAACCTCTGGGTACATTTAGAGATGAGATCAAATGCCAGAAACACCTAAAGATGTCAAGAGGAGGCTTAGAGTTCCCTTACAGATGTTTGCCGGGGACTCTTGAAGTGAATCAAGCTTTCTTTCAAATCTGTTGAAGTTACTTGCACGTGCAGTATTGTTCTTTCAACCATAACCCAAAGACGTGGCTCGAAACTTTGATCAGTAGACCAGTAAATTAGGAACATCTCAAGTTCGACCCCTTCTCGACCGAGAAAACACTGACACTGCTAGTTACAGAATCTACAATAAGGAACAGACTTTAAAGAAAACTCAACTTTAAAAAAACTAGGATTTCTCAATCAAAATAGTGAAAGTGTACATTCTGCTTTTATTCAGTTCTTTAAGAAGCTAGGACAAGTTTCTGATGCACAGTCAATATCTTTTCAAGGATTCAGGGGAGACAATGAGTCTGTTTACTTGTTACAGTGCACTTAATCCCATTTAACCTTTAGTTTAACTGTTAGGGTTTGAGCTCCTTAATAGTGATATTTAATCAGTTATGGTGTGATAATGCCATAAATACTGTTCAGCAGCAGGTAAATAGAAGGTTAAGTTTAATTCAGTATGGAAGCAGTTGGCCTTGTGTAATTTTAGACACATGGTGGTCAGTGCTCAGATTGGGCTGGATAACAAACGTGTGTCTTCTCCTCAGTGTTCCTGGAGAGCTGATTTTCCTCCCCTACTAGATCTGGAGCACCTGGGCCCACTGCTCCAAATCCAGCTCTTTGAAACGTCTCCCTTTCTTTCTTTTTTTCCACCTGGACAGCGTCTGCACAAATTTGTTTCAGTTTAGATTCTGTCTAAGTGCACTTCTTCACTTTGTTCACACACCCACATGCACACGTTTAATGCTACAGACTTCAGACACATTATTATTGTCTAGGGGGGGGAATCACTAGTGGCCCCACGAGATGATATTATCACGATACTTGGGCCACGATACAACATTATTACATTTTTTAACATTTTGCAATATAGTGAGTATTGCGATGCAAGTTATTGTGATTTATACAAATTTTTCAACTGTTTCGCTAATTTAGCATTTGACTTTCCCTAAAGTTTGTCTTAGTTATGCACTATTTTATTTTCATGTAGCACATCTTGCAAACCTCATGTGTCAGGTCCATCTCATTTGTGTCCCGCTTGCCTTCCTAATGTCTTTTCCCAGGTGCTGTTGTATTTGTTGCACGAACTTTCTCCTGCTCTTCGATGTATCCTCTGTCAACCTCACTGGACAAACAGCAGATTTTATTTTTCCATTATCATAGATTTGACTTCAATTTGAAAAATCGATACTTGATCAATGAGATGATACGATATACCACCAGACGAAATATCGCGCTTCTTTGCTGTATCGATTTTTTCCCCCACCCTTATTATTGTCACCCTTCAAACGATTTAACTTAATTTTGTGATAAATAATTAATTTACTTTGACATCTCATGCTGCCTCTCGTCCTCTGTTATAACCTGGGCGCTGGTGCTCTGAGAGTAACAGAGACTCGACGTGCTCACTGTGTGATGACAAACACTAAGCCACACATTCCTTTCCCCACTGTGCCGGCTCCCTTATTAACTCATACCCAGATTTGGCTCTACTGCTACTTCTGTTGCTGCCAGAATATCATCAAGAGGGCACTGCCCCAACTCTGTTTTTGTACTGTTCTACATAATGTTTTAATCCATAGCAGCATATTTGGCTCTGTCAAAGGAAAACCTGCATCCTTAATTTTTACAGGTGCAGATTTCTTAAACCTTCATGAGCGTGCATCCTCTAGGAAATATTCTTCGGATCAGTGTATGGCACATATTCAACGTATTTGGATCTTATCCAAAGTCCTAGCCTGCATGTGTGCTGAACATGCTCAGAGCACGTATCTGGCTCTTGGATCAAAAGCATTCCTGCAGGAACCAAACAGCAAAAGATTTGTCCAGCAGGTTTCCTCTGAGTGTCTCAAAGTCGCACAGTAAACACTGCAGTCTGTCCAACAATAGCTCTGAGATTTATGCCTCCACAATGGTCCTCGGTCTCTGTGTTGTTGTTGTTGATGTGTCTGTGGACAGGAATGTAAGGTCCACAAATGGATGCTGGTGTTTTTTTTCCTTCCCCATGTGTCTGTCTTCAATGGGAGGTCTGGGAGGTGTTTGCATGCCTCCACACAGCTGGCTTATATCAACTGCTGAAACAAAACCCAAAGCAACATCTAGGTCAAGCGTGCCTGTGGATATGTGAACATGTGTTAGTCCTCGGTTTCGTGAGAGAACCACAATGAGTGGGCTTCGGTAGTAGTCATTGTTTTGAGTGAAATGACTGTCAGAGCCGCAGCCAAGAGAAAAAGAGATTCTTGTTGCTGGATGTCAGATGGTCTTATAATGGTTCTTTTAAAAATGGAAGACTATATATATTCAGAGGATTTCAACCAATTTCACAAACAAAAGTGTATCTGCTCTGAAGTCATCTTCTGTTTATTTACACTGTACAGTATATCCTCAAATACAGTCTTATACCTTTTACGCGAAACTGACACATTGGTAAGTGAGTCATTTTAAACTCATGCTGTCAAAGCAAATGTTAAAATCTACTCTTTGGAAAACGAAACTCTGAAAATTATGCAACCAAGGAAAATATGGAGTGATGAGTCAGCATCATCCCGTCTGAAGTGAAGTCACAAACTTTGTTTGCGAGTTCACATGTTGCAAATCAGAGAGAAACATATTTATTTATTTAGACTCATGTTGATGATCATGGATCTTTGCTTGTTTTATGTATTGACTCTTGAGGGAATGATCAGTTTCTGAACTGAAAAAAGCTCCACTTTGTAAACCAGCTACACTCAACTTTTATTGCTTCATTGTTAAGTGTTAAGCGGGTAATGCTATGATCACAAATTGCCTAATAAGAAAAGTCAAAGTGTTTAAAACCCATGAAATTGATCAGCATTGGGATGAAATTTACTCAATTTGCTGTTGGATTTCCACCGAAAGCCTCTTTCCGCTGTCTTTCAATCATATCATGTGATCTAAACCAGCAAAAAGAGACTCCCCAGTTGCTTAAATTTGGCTTGAACTGTCTATTTTATTGTTGGTTCAAAGAAACAATGAAAGAAAATGGGGCTAAATTCAGAGATGTTTGTGATCAAAACTCACTGAAGCAGCTTTTAAGAAAATTCTGACATTCACCAAAGATTTCCTATGAGATTTTTTCTTTGTTCAAAACAAAATGAAAAAAAAAAAAAAATCATTTGCTTGCTCTTAAGAACATTTAAGTGCCAATATGCTGATCAAAGTGATTGGATATTATGTTTTTATTTATTTATTATTTTTTGTATTAGAAAAAGTTTGAAATCTTGTCAACCATAACTGTGATAATATCTGAAAGTTACAATAAATTAGATTCTGAAATAAGAATTCTGGTAAAAAGAATAAAAATGTAAAGAATCAGGTTCATAAGCTAGGCGTGCAGTCTTAACATTAATTATTTAACTGATATTCACAAGCTTAAAGCTCCAATAAAGACTTTTTGTTTGTGTCGATTATTGCGCCCCCTGTGGACAAACCAGTCTCTGCTCAACTTGTCCTCTACATGCTGAGGTAAAGTCTTCTGACCAAAAGTCTCCTCACTCTGACTTTTTACTGTGAAATTTATAATTTATTTGGTATATTTTATGCAGATTATGTAAAAATTGGGCTGCTTCTTTAGCTGGTGACCAACACATACCCCCTTACTCCCAGTTCAGGCAAAAAGAGTTTCAGTCTATTTAATAAATGTCAAAATGTTCCTTATATGAGCTTTAAATAAGGTAATAATATAGGCAGCGACCTAAACAACATCAGTAACCTGCCGTTGTGCTCGATGTGTTACAGCGGCAGCGCGCCCTTCCTAAGAACACCTTCAGCAGCTTCATGAATCTGACTCCGACTTCTCCTGGTAACCCAAATTTAAGAAAAATATGAAGATTGTAAAGGTGGCCTTTTTCTAACAACATCACAGCTAAAGTCAATCACAGCAAATAAAATACTGGAACAACCACAGCTGATCACAGTCAGTGTACCCTGAATTGATGAAGTTTACCACCTTAGACAAAAGTACACTGGATTTATTGATACACCGGTCCTCAATAGTGACCTTGTGTTAAGCTGTGTTGAAGAAATTGTGCTTCATTTAAGAACAATAACTACATGACTCATAACAGTCATTTATGTTGTGTTTGCTTTTCCAGACACAAAGTAACAAGAATAACTCATAGGATTTGTCGTTGTTTGACTGTTGTAGGTCAGAGTCTATTTTCTGTTTATTCCTTGTGTGTGAATAAACTGTCTGTGTGGCTTGGACCCATAACGGTCAGATCTTGACAGATCTTGAATGCAAAAAAAAATCAAACCTCCTTCTTTTGTGTTTGTTTGTTTGTGTTGCTTAAATCTTCTTATTTTTGCAGACAGGTCAGCAGAGACTTTGACGGAGAGGGCGCTACATCATATGTCAACATGCCCACAAGTCCCATCGGTCCGTCCTGCAAGGAGGAGAGGAAGGGCAGCTTCTTCAAGGTACATAACACACAAACAAGAACACAGATTCACAAACAGATCTGTAAAGATAGTAGGTTTCAGCCAGTCTAGTTCATCCTGATTGTTGCTGTTGAGATACCAGGTTGGAGATGTGGGTGTGGGGCAGCAAGTCTCAAAGTTACAGGCTAATACCTGGAGAAGATTAAAGAGGAGGAGAAGAGAGGAGGAGCTGAGTGTAGCTCTGTAGTTTTAAGCCGTTTCATCTCTGCTTGGAGAGCCAGAGCTCAGTTTCACCAGAATGGACTTTTTAACAGATATATTTTAAGGAAGATGTGGACTCTCTTTGTTCACTCAGGAAATTCTGATCATATTTTACGAGATAATGTCAGGGGTGCATGAGAAGACAAATCTGCAATGCTTCTCTGTATTTCAAAAACAGAAACACTTGGACTGACAGGAACTCTTGGTGACTGCGGAGATTATGTCAGGTGTATTAAGGCCGGTTTTATTCTGACTGATTTATCAGTAAATTCTTCATGATTTGTATGAAATATTCAAATCAAGTGAAAACCTGTTATTACATACTGTTTCTGTATGTACTGTATGGGGCATACAACTGCAGGATCTAAAGGTTTTACATTACTTTGTCATTTCCTGTTCCTCAGAGCAAAAATGTAGTTTGTAGTAAGGCTGCATGATGAGGGATTGGGCTGGGATGGATTTGGGTATTCTTTTCCTGAACCTGAAATCACATTTTAAACAAACTACATTTTTTACTTTACAATAACAGAGTGGCATTTCAACCTAACAAAACATATGAAATGGAAAAAACAAATAAAACCATTTTCAAATAGTTAGTGAGGATCTCCGCCTCATCCTGAAATCACATTTAACACATATTACAGTTCAACCTTACAAAAACAGAGTGGCATTTCCACCACATAAAACACATAAAATGAAAACGAACAATAATAATAATAATAAAAAATTTTTCAACTATTTGGTAAGGACCACAACAACACCACATAAAACTAATAAGGACCACAACAACACCACATAAAACTAATAAAATGCAAAACAAATAAAAACTTTTCCAACTATTTGATGAGGATCTTTTCCTGAACCTGAAATCACATTTTAAACAAACTACATTTTTAACTTTAAAGAACATAGTGGCATTTCAACCAAACAAAACACATGAAATGCAAAAAACAAATAAAACCGTTTTCAAATAGTTAGTGAGGATCTCTGCCTCATCCTGAAATCACATATAACACACATAACAGTTTAGCCTTACAAAAACAGAGTGGCATTTCCACCACATAAAACACATAAAATGAAAACGAACAATAATAATAATAATAAAAACTTTTTCAACTATTTGCTAAGGACCACAACAACACCACATAAAACTAATAAAATGCAAAACAAATAAAAACTTTTCCAACTATTTGATGACGATCTTTTCCTGAACCCGAAATTTCTATTTTACACAAACTACATTTTTAACTTTAAAGAACATAGTGGCATTTCAACCTAACAAAACACATGAAATGGAAAAAACAAATAAAACCATTTTCAAATAGTTAGTGAGGATCTCTGCCTCATCCTGAAATCACATTTTACACAAATGACTGTTTCACCTTTCAATGTCACCACATTTTGGTGCCACACAATGTGGCATTTTCACCACATAAATTGCAAAAAACAAATAAAAGCTTTTTTAAACATTTGGTGAGGATCTCTTCCTGATCCCAAAAACACGTCTCAAGGCCCTGGTGAAGAAACTCTTCACTCGTTTTAGTGGGCCCTTTCTGCGTACTTCAGAGGCTTGAGTCTCAGTTGGAGGCCTTAGTTGTTCGTTGGCCTCCTCCATGTTTTCCTCAACTGAAATAATGTCTGAGAGGACTGGTTCTTCAGGAGTTCCCTCTGTGTTGGGTTCGTCGTCCTCCGCATCATCAATACTGAGGACATCATCTGAACTCTCAGGTGTCACCAGACTCATCTTATTAAACGCATCCTCCAAACTAAAGTGAAACATGAAAATTAGTTTTCAAATCATTTGACATCCAGGCAAAGATCTCTGCGACCAGAAGACTGTCACTTACTACATGCTTGAGTTCGCCTCCTCCAAATTGTCAATACTGAGGACCTCATCTGAACTCTCAGATGCCACCAGACTCATCTTTTTAAACGCGTCCTCCACACTAAAGTGAAACATGAAAATTAGTTTTCAAATCATTTGACATCCAGGCAAAGATCTCTGCGACAAGAAGACTGTCACTTACTACATGCTTGAGTTCGCCTCCTCCCCCAGATGGATCATCGTAATAAATGGGTGGTTTAGGGCTTCTTCTGGAGTCAGTCTCTTATCAGGGTCAGTGCAGAGGAGACCGGTCAGGAGGCTTACATATGCTCTCCCATCCTCTACCTCGATGAGCTCCTTTACATCTTGGAGGAGCTACAATAGAAACAAATGACAGAGATTTGACTTTATTAGCTCATTGTCTCTGAAATGAATCAGTATTTATTCTCTCTACTCATTCAAATGTCTCACTTACTGTAACTATATCATCAAGTTTGCGTATAGGCGTCTCACTCTTTTTAAACCCAAGTGACCCTGTATATTCCATTGGAGTCTACAGGAATAAAACACAGAGTGCACGTCAGATACTCAGTCCTGAAATCAGTTTGTAGAAGAAAAATCTGCCTAGGTTACATCTTAGGAACAGAGTAAAAATACCTTCAGCCACCACTTCTTAGGCAAGTGCCAATTTGCCTTAAAAAATGTGTTGGTGTAAATCCCGGCATCGAGCACATGCTCATCAGGCTGTCCAATAATATCCACTATGTTCATCATCTAGGACCAAACACAAAGAAGCACTCTACATCAGGTCTCTGGTTGAGTTTGGACTTTTTGAGTGATCAAATAACAATGAAAGGAGTTACTTACCTTCCTGTACTCACAACCTGACCCAAAAAGATGGCGGGCAAGAAACAGCTCTGCCAGTACACACCCAAGACTCCACATATCAATGGCCTCTGTCAAAGGGAGGCCGAGGATCACTTCCGGGGCTCTGTTTGGAAATGACAGGTTAGTTCACATACGTGTGAGATAATAACCTCTATCTGATCAGCTGAAACATCAGTGAGAGGATGAGCTCTGAAGGTTGACTTACCTGTAGCCAAGAGCCTGTACAGTCAGTCCAGTACCAACTTCACTCTTATGTCGCGCAAAGCCAAAATCAATCAGCTTCACCCTGAAAGGCTGGTTCTCCTGGTCGATTAGCATGACGTTATCAAGCTTTAAGTCAGTGTGGATAACACTAATGCCTTTCAGGGCGACAAAAGCTATGAGCAGCTGCAGAAAGAAAGAATAAAAAAATGAAGAGGATTACAGCAAACAAGTGTGCAGGAGTTTACAGATCAGAGCAGATGTGCTGTATGTTTTTTCCTCTATTTGTATATAGTTCAATTCTGTATTACTTCCAATTATTTATTGATATGCTGGCTGCTAGGTCTTTACCTGCTGTGCGATGGGTCGGATCTCGTTGAGCGACAGAGGTTTGTACTGTCGGTCTCTCAAAAGCTGATGCAGGTTTTTGTCCAGCATTTCGAAAGCCAAACAGGTATGACCTTCGTGCTCAAACGACTCATAAAAAGTCACGATATTTGAAGCGACTGGGTCAAGTGTGAGGATCGCCTCCAGCATCTTGAGCTGTTAAAAAGAAAAGTTAAATCAGTACAGCTGCACAAAAAATGCCAAAATTCAAAGGCATGATTATCGAATAGATTTAAAGGATCTCTACCTCTCTATCTGATGATCTCCAGTCCTCCCTGCTCACAATCTTTACAGCAACTTTCTCCATTGTGGTCAAGTTCACACATCTTGCAACTTCTCCAAGACATCCTCTGCCAATAAAATCTCGCACAAGGTAATGGCCAGTGCTACTGTAGATGGTTTCAGATGGTCGCACTAACATTTCCGATCTTGAACTCATTTCAAAAAATCCTCCAAACAATTCTCAATGTTGAAAGGGTTATCAAAACAAGCACCAAGCAGTACAAAACTCTCCAAACAATTTTCTGCTCTCTCCAAAGGTTCGCCAATATCTCAACTCAAATATCTCGAAGGGGGGTCTTCAACTAACGCCGTCAGTGAATAGTGTTCGAGTGAAAGTCTCATGGATCGTGGACCTAGTTATAGGCTAAATGAAGGATTTTAAATATCAACACTCTAAACTCATTTTTAAATCAACACCGAACCAAACAGTTTCATCCTACAGCCGTTTCCATGACGATAAACCAAACACTCTCCACTACTTCCAATAGAATGATGCAGTATAAAACTTTGGATATTATTTTTTAATTATAAATAATATACCTCCATAAACCTACAACATCTTAGCCTGGCTGGGCCATCCTGTTGCGTGAGTCACTTGCCGCAACAGGATGGCCCAGCCAGGCTAGCAACATCTACCTTTAAATAACTGTAACAAATTCACGTGATCGCTCTTTGTGATCTCCACTAGACTGAAATACTGATAATACACCAAAAAAAAAACCACAGACTGTGTAGTATTTTTGAAATCCTGCACGTGCTGCAAACATGAAGATGTGTGAGAAGCAGCCAGCAAGAAACTTAAATTTTGTAGGCTGGTGAAATTACAGAATTACACAAAAAAACATTACACAATTACAGAAAAATAAAACAATTCATTAAACAGGAAGTAGTATTTTGAAGGCTTGAAAATACTTGTAGAGTCACCAAATGTAGTACATGTGGAAATTGTGGAGCAATGACATATTTTCTAGTCTTGCTTTTAACTAAATTGAGTCGGGACAAAACACTCCCTAAAAAACTTTTTTGAGAATGCACAATTTATTGATTAGAGTTATTTATTACTGTAGAGAACGGTCTTAGCTATTTAACCCCGTAAAGGAACAGGCTCTAAATATTTTTTTTTTTTCTATAAATTCACGTTTCCCTTAGATAGTGGATTTGTGTCAACTCCATCAGACACACTAAAAAGAATATAATTTTCATAATTCTAGTTCAACAAGAATCTAAAGTTCTGATGTATGTTGTAATAGTGTTTAGTTACTCTGATATGCCATGAAATATAATATATAAACCTAATATGTGATTTCACACTATTTTGAAAACCAAGATTTCTTAATAGTTGCATTTTCAAACTTTGTTTTTAATTTTTATATTATAAAAACAATTTCCGTAAGTAAATAAGAGACAAGAGGATGTAGAGCCAATGCTTCTTTATTACTTAATCAATATAAACTGAAGAAACAATTTGTTTTTTCTTCAAAAATTAAGAAAAACATACATCTGACGGTGTTGACGAACATCTGACGGTGTTGACGAGAAACTGACGGAGTTGATGACATTGCATATGTTATTGAACAAATGTGTTTTTAAACCGATTGACGATAGATCAATAGGTGACAATAGATTGAGAACTAATAACTAGGCCTGGGCTGACTGTCAGTGCAGCAGATCTGATCAGAGACTCTGATCAGACTCTATACTGTTGAAGTCTCTGTTACTGTTTTTCCCCAGCCTGCTTTGATTAGAGGCTTTCCTAAAACACATGTGCAACCACACCTCACAGCAGAGACAGGGGAAAAATCAGCTGTATATCACTTTTTATGGAAGTATAAATCAGGCACTCTAAGAATATGCAGTCCTGCCAAAAACAGTGGGATAACATAGGATCAGCTAGAGCTTTTTGGGCTGAGCCAGACTTCCCTTTCTGATCAGAGACCAGGTCATCTTCCATGCATTTCAAAATGCCTTTTCTAATGAATGCTTCTTTGAATGAATGATTTTGACCTTATCACACAGGCAGTGACACCTCCCACACATCTGCTCTTGACTGTAATTTAGGTTTCAGAGGAGGCCAGATGGAAGGTGGAGGAGAAAAGAGAGCTAAAAATAGAAGACTGGAGGTCAGGGAGAAACCTCACAGTACAGAAATTTAGGAGACAGTGCTCTGATGGAGGTATAAGTAAGGACTGTTCTGTTGAGTCTTGTATCTAATTATGGGCTGCTGCATATGGTATAGACTGTGGAGAGTATTTATATGCTTACTGAGCAAAATCATAAGAAAAATTCAACTTTAGAGTTACTTATAAAAAGAACAGTCACATAGAGGGCAGCTAGTCCCACAGCCTATCTGTATAGTTTGAAATGTATATATCCTTTTATTGTGTGACAAATAACACATGAATGATGACAATGATCACTGTTCTCATCACACCTTTAAAAAAGATGTTTACAAAGTGCTTTCACTAGCCCTGTTTATATGGGTAGTTTTCCTCAATCTGATTGAAATCAATCAGATTAAGTGAATGCACAGAAGGTCACTCTGCCACTACCTGCAAATGTGTAAGAGAAGTAAAGGTGCACTTCCTGCTTCCTGTTTACCTGTAGAAGGATCCGCGTCGTGTTTTGTTGGGGACGCTTATTGTTTTGTGGTTACATTTATTTGCGGTACAAGTTTGTCTCCTCCACTGTCCAGTTTTTCTGTTTGTTCCCCGTTTGTTTTCATTTGGGCGCGCTCTGCGTACGTCACTACGTGCCTCTTACGTACTACGGAGCGCCTGCGCAGACCGAACAAGCCTCTCTGTCAACCCAATCCGCTCCACTCAGCGGTATATATGGAGCATGGAGCGGATGATCAATCGGCATAGACTACCTCTTACAATCCAACAACACAAGACTTTAAAAAGGTTGTAAGAAGATGGTATTACAAGAATACTAAGGAGTCATTGAGCAATCCCTCTGCTCATTTGTCTCTGTATTATAGCTTCCTATATCCTTATACGAACTATTGTAATATTGTACGCTGTGCAACGTATCCAATTTACCTCAAGAAAATATTATCAATCCAGAAAAGACTTTTAAGAATGACATCACGATCCAGCAGACACGAATCTTCTGCACCTCTCTTTTCTAAATACTCCATCTTACCGATCGACAAACTCAATGTCTTTCACTCTTGTTTATTTGTCCGTAAGTTCATCAATAAGAAACAAAACTTTCCGAAACTTTTTACCTTTTTATCCAACCTTCACCCGTACTCAACAAGACAAAATGGCCATCTTCATAACCTGTCCATGTCCTAGTTCATTTGTCGTTTGCACACTATGCCTTCACTGCCCTGACGGGAGTGGAACACTATTGGCTTCGTTCCCTCCTTGCACTGTTTTTAATCTGTGCTAAATAAATAAATACAAATACAAATACAAATTCATTACGCTAAAGACAAAAACACCCTCTAGATATGGAGATGGAGTTTTGAGAGTGAGTGTTCAGCCTCTGTCCTCATGTTTATTCTGCCCTCCCTGGCATCAGACCAGTCCCTGTGCCGTCAAGCACACATACTTTCCTCATGAAACCTGGAGGAGGATTATTTTGTCAGTTAATGGTGGTTTCATTCACAACTGTGTGTTTTCAGCAGCAGAGCCAGTGTGTGCCCTTTTTGTGCTGGGGACAGGATCGCTGCCAAATATGACCTCAGGTTTCCAGCTCAGATTCAGTGAATATAAGAAACAGCTCTGAAGTTATAATAGCGACAACAACAACTTTGAGTAAATGTTTGTCCTCAAAGTTGATTCATTACAGATTTTTCAGTCTCATTTTAAATAAGATTACTTATTGCTGGACATCAATTAACCAAGCTGAAAAATGAAATGAGATATTCATGATATTGCTGTATTTTTTCTTAGAATATGTTGATATTCTTCACATATATGCATGGATGTTTATTACAAGAAAACTGTGCTCTCCTAACTGATTTGTTAGTTTGTCCATTTGGTTCAGATAAATATAGTGATCAATTACAGAAATGTGTATTTATTTATGCTCTGCATTTTAGCAGTGCAACAACATGCTTGCATTGGCGATATTAAAGTTATGGTAAATAACAGTTTTCTCTTTAAACAGACTTGGATGAAGTCATCCTGAATAACTGAGGTTGTGAACCTTTAATGAATTAAGTCACAGCTTGATTTCCTCTTTAAAGAGCTGAGCTAATTGTTTCCTCGCTCCGCTCAGTCAAGCAGCTGGTCTGATGTTGCCCAACAGATCCATTGCCTAACTAGACTGATAAGTGGGAAATGAAACAAAGACACCAGAATGAATCAAGGTCAAGCTTCAGGGGAGGGATGAAAGAAAAGCAGTTTTTACTCTTTAAGTCAAGCGTAGCCGAGTCTTTGGACTGAAACATCTGGTTTGTTTTGTCTCAACTTGTATCTTCTCCGATTTTGGGTTTCCTGCACAAAGTGAAGGAGCTTTAGGTGTGCAAGTCTTTGCTGTACTTGCACCCTCTTATGGCATTAATTCCCAAAATATTTTCAATACATTCAGAATTTTTCTGCTTCTGTAAAAAATACATCATTTTATGGTGCATGAAGATCAGCGACTGATATTCTTTTGGTCGTTTGTTGCCATAAAAGTTGTAGGCTTGAGATGTTAAGCTACAGTAGATGCATCTTCTTGCGTGAGCTGAAACTTAAATCAGCTTTGGATCAGCTGAAAGAGAGCGATTATTAAACTGCGAGGCTTGTACAATTTTGACAAAATTACTCTGTATTACTAATTTGCCCTTTGAAATCTCTTGTGTGCAAAAGCAGCTTGAGTTCAGAGCCAGACTGCAGCTCACAATGATTCCTATTATATAAGAGGTGAGGGATCAGAGAATATCAATACAGCAGAGGATTAATGTTGGCTTAAAAGGGTTATTATAGCCTATTTCAAAACAACATCCAAACAAGGAGATGAAAACAAGATTTGATCTCAGTGAAATGAATGAATGAACTTTAATTGTCCACGGTATGAAATTTGTCTTCAAAATTCACAGTAGAATTACACAGTGACCCCACTCAGAAACAAAACAATACATTTAAGAGTGCCTGGAGTCCCCTTAGTAACACATAATCCACAAATACAGAAGACAGAAGATCTAATTGGGTTTTAGAAAAAGTTAAAATTAGGAAACAAGCAGTATAAAGAAACAGAGTGTGGGCTCATTGGCATCTTTACCGTTGACTTAACAGGTAACAGGTGTTGTTTTGTGGGATCCCCGTTGGGAGTACAACTATTGTAGCACACACAATCTCACTCACAATCAAAAGACGTTTATTAAAAGACTTTTTCTGTAAATGACTGTTGGTGCTAACTTAGTGTAAGCAAAACATTCTTCCAGCAGAGGTGAAATGGTCAGACACCACATGCTTTGGCAACATGTTTGAGTATTACATTTGGTTTTGGTTGCAAACCCACTGTTTGGCAAAAACAAACACCAGAAGTTTCAGTTCCAGATAAAATTCACAATCAGACTTATTTTTTGTTTTAAAACCCTCTGCAAGGACTTCATTTTGTCGATGTTGCATTTATGTTAAAAATATCCAGAATGAACTTTCTGTTTCCTCCAGCAGTTACAAAGTAACACTCACTCCTGAAGGTTCACGCACAGGCAGACTTCTAAGAACCGTTTCCTCCCTGTGTTCCTCTGTACTGAGTCTGTTTGGTCAAAGGGAAGTGGTCAGGCCAGGCACACACATGCAGAACGCTTCAATACAAACTTCATAAACTGGAGACAAACTTCATGGATTAACCATTTTGGTTTGTTTGATTCAGCTGCTATTTTTCCTTTGTGTTAACACAGTGTTGCTTTATGTTTTTGTAGCTGATTGACTCATTTGCCTGGGAAATTGGCACCTTGAAGAAGGAAATGGGGAAAAAGACTCGGAAGGCAGAAGGAGACAAGACTGATCCTCTCCTCGGGTGAGTTCAAATGTGTCCGCCTCGTGAACTTACCAGCAACCATTGGATTTAAGGCAGTGCTATTTACAGTGATCACCAGCAGATGTCACTCTTACTTGGCCTTTAATGTTGTTTGATGTGTGACCAGATGCCAGCACATCCGTTTGACAGCATGTATTAAGGTGTGAGCTGGCGTGAGAATCTGATGAGCAGGAACTTGAATAACATGTGCGCTTACATTTTTCAATGTTCATCTTAAGTGGACCAAAACAAAAGCATGATGATAAACAAGAATCACAGTGTGTACGTGCACACACACACCTCACTGAGCATTTGTGGTGATTAATTCCTTCTTAGTTTCTGCCGTGTTCAGAAAGTACCTGTTTATTTTTGAGGAAGTGTGAGTGATCCAGATCAATGTCATGAAACACGCTGACTCCAGTGTGTTTGAATTTAAAATAAACTTTGTTAACTGGCAATTGAGTTAGTCATGAGTGTTTCTCTGAATTATTAGCACAGAAAAAAAAACACCATTACATCATAAATCTGTGTGCATGCAAGTGCAATATGTGTACATATTCTCAACCCAGTATGTTAGTCAACTGTTTAACTGTTCTTATAATTCAGAGGGACAGTTATTTGGCCTTCAATTTAACGGCTTTGTGTTAAACTTTAAAAAGTTACATGTAGTTTAATTGTTCTCGGTCTAAAAACAGACACATGGGAGGATAATTATTATGTATGTATTTATTTTATCAGGGACTCTCTTAAGCTCTATACCCAGCTGTTGTTAAGTTTGATATGTTGTGTTTAAGTTTCGGCCAATCACATTAAGTTGCTTATCACATGGTAATGATGTAAAGCACAATATATGGGGTCTTGTTTTAAGATGACGGGGTTCTAATTAGGATAACCTCTGACTTCACTCAGCTTAACAACCAGCTACGTACTAAAGCTGTCAACAAGTTGACCCAAAACATTGATTTTGAGATGTTTTTATTGATTTTCAAATGATTTGTACATAAAGCCTAAAAGAAGTTGCTTTTAATCCTCTGTCAGTAAGACTTCCATGGTAACAGATTCTTATAAGCTGATTCCAGAGAAACATAAACACCAGTCCATCCATCTTAAACTTTTACTGGCTAAGATAAACATGTATATAGATTATAATGTGCATGAAATAGTGAATCTGAACATGTCTTATCTTAAACGCATATTTCACTTTTGTTATTCCTCTTGAACAATTGCAGATGGCTAGGCAGAAATCCAAAAATCCAAAATAGTTTTAGTAGGGATTCATTAAAGCTCCTTGGAAGAGTTTTTTGACATGTATAGAACAGACTGAAATTCAGTTTGATGCTTTTTTATAATATCTTAAAGAAAACAAGATCAAAATTGACAAGATTGAAGAGTTTGGCTTACAGATCTATAATAATAATGATAGTATTAAACCTCTGTGTTTGCGTCATTCTCAATTGTCAACAGTGAATGTTTACACAGAGTCAATGATAAGACGTCATATACAGCATTATATTTGCTGTTAGGAATTTATGATTGTTGTTCAGGATCAAATATTTAAACATGAACAGGTAATCTATGAAGTTCGGCAGCCATAAAGAAGCTGTTTAGCATGGTGAACTTCTCAGTGAAGCTGTCGTCAGTCTGTGGTGTAAAGTCTCTCTGTTACTGTTTATCTACAGTCTGACATAATTACAGGCCTCCCCTAAACACACATGTGGTCCTTAAGTGTGACCACACCTCACAGCTAAGAGAGAAAGAAATCAGGGACACATATCTGACTAAAACACAAACCGCCTTCAACCACAGAACCTTCATGTCATCTAATCACAGCATTCAGAGTCATTAGGAAACATCAGATCCCTGTAATGAACTCTCTCATGTTTGTTTGATCCTGTTTTCAGGCTCAGTGAAGAGGTGGGCGGGCTGTTCCTGCCGGCTTCCCCCCGCGCAGGGATTGGTGCGGGACAGGCTGGAGCGAGAGACTCAGGCTACGACTCCCTCCATCGGCGGCTCAGTGTGCTGGACAGACTGGTGCACACACACTCTGTGTGGCTGCAGCTGGGCCTCAGCCACCAGGATGCCACGCGTTTACTGCAGAACCAACCCACAGGGGTGAGGAAGCCAAAGCCAGTGCTGATTTTAAGCTTTAGATTCAATGTTGAAGGCTTATTGTCTGATTTTTTTCCACCTCCTGAGTATTATGTGATTTGATAACCCTCAGACTTTACCGTCACAAGTTTATGTTGCCTCTAACTTTGGGGGTTTCACCCTCACAGACAAAACACAGTGTAGTTTTGCAGGTCCTTACTGCTGGTTTTATTATATATTCCACTCAGGTTGAAGAAAATGAAGTCAGGTTAAGTCCAGACAGGATGGTACTGGTCTTCAGTAAACACTGACTGGATGTTTCCCTCTTTGAATCGCAGACATTTGTGGTGAGGAAGTCGAGCAGTCTGCAGAGGAAAGTATTATCTCTTCGCATGGACAAAGACTCTGAAGTCCCCATCAAAGACTTCCTTGTGAAGGAGAGTCAGTACAGTGAGTGTCTGGAAACCATCACATTCTTCATTTGTATTTTATGTGTTTATTTCCTTGTATTGCTTTAAGCTGCTAATCAGGTTTGAAGGTTCTTCTTCAGCAATGCAAATGGTAAGGGAGTTAGAGTTAGTAGTCAGATTATAGCGGGAAATATGCACATATTTTCGGTTGAAGTATGTCCGTGTCCACCCCTCAGGGGATGCTGTGAGTTTTGGCAACGATAAAAATTGGCCGAGCTCCACCGGTGGAATTACAGAGCCACTTTAAATATGCAGCCTTGAATTTTTCTTATGGGAAGGTTCATGTTGTAGTCACGTGAGTGTGCGCACAAACGTGCAATCATCCTCCAGGCCAAAATCTCACTGACCTACATACATTATAAATGTAGAAAACACACGTGAGCATGATGTTGATGATTTTAAAACGCAGACAACTGCTTTGTGAAGGAGATGACAAATAACTCTGACAGTGCGAGGGAACAAAGGGATTTTCCCTCTATGTTTTTATTTACCTCTTGAAGCTTTGCCTCTTTTTTGCTTCAGATTTAGTTTTAGTGAACAGATTTTTTCCTTTTTAAATCATTACTCTTATGATTGTATTCCAGGTTTGTCGTTGTATGCAAGTTGTATTTTAAACCCAGCTGAAAAATACTTCAAAATTAGGACACTGCCATGCTGTCAAGTGTAATTGCTAACAAAACCTCCACAAACTTCATCTCTGGGGTCTTTCTCACTCAACTAAACACATTAAAATTCCAACTTATTAACTAAACTAAAGGTAAGAAAACAGTCAAAGGTGAGCACACGTTTATTAACACATCTAAATCTACTGGTCATGTCAAACTGGTTTACTGAGTGGGACTAATATTAGCAGATTGAGCACCACCACCTTTGGTTCTCCTTGCAGGTAACAACCACTTACCTGGGCTGGCTCGACAAAAAGTGGTTTTCCACCAACCTGTTAGTAAAAATCTCAAAAGTTGTATCAGCAGAGACTTTGCACAGCTCACATTCAGCTGAAAGTAAAAGGTTAATAGTAACCAGAGTTGATATCTGGAAGTATAAACAGGGAAGTAGGAGTGAAACTACACTCCATTCAGACTTAGACTGTCAAAGCTGGTGTCTGCTCTTCTTCTATCCAACATGACAGAAGTCATGGGTCAGCTGTCCCCAGCTTTAAGGACACTGCATGTCTGTAAGAAGTCACGGCTTGATCCAGTGTAGTGGGGAAAAAACAAACATTATTGACTCTGTATGTTGAGCTACAGACTTTACCTTGAAGCCAGTTCCTTCCCTTTGCATCACCAAAACACAATAAATTCATTTATTAACTCTTCTGATTCTCTTGGATGGATATTAATTTTAAATCTGCACCTGAAATCAGGGATTTTCCTTAAGTTTTAGCCAGACGTCTCACTATCTTCTCCCCCCTGGACCTGTGCGTGCCGGCACTTTTCTTTGTCAGCACCAAAACTGGAATTCCCGAATGCTTACCAAGTGAGAGTCTGTCCTGTGTGTGAATCATTGCCTACAGCAGCCTTCACTGCCTTGACTCGTTTTTGCTGAGTGAAAGTTGTGGATTGTGGAGTGATGTCTTCTCTAATGCCTGTAGGGAACAATACACAAAAGCAGGAATACAATGGCAATCAGTGAAGGCTTTATGTTAAAATTAACCTGTCTGGGAGTAAGTTATCACCTCCAGCTCAGAGTTTGTCTTACTAAGGGCACAAAAATGCATAATGTTATACTACAGTTCAAGGATTGTCTTCTTTATCATAACTCAAGTGCACATTATCCTATTTCATGCCTCCTTTTTTACAGTGAACATGACAATATTTTAACGGTCTCTCATAATACTTTATTCCCTGTTGATGTTACTATGGATCAGTAAATGTTCAGAGTTGGACTGAAGGTGTGTTCAAAAGTTTTCCCCTTCCTATTTCTGTTTACTGTTTAAGTTGCCATTCTTGATGCTGTCTGTTGTCATTATTTATCAGTCTGATTCTGTTACACTGAAGGAGATTCAAACTAAAACCTTTAAAAAAATCAAGTCAACCTTTCCTTCACAATCTCTGGCTCGTCTGCTTGTTTCTCCTCTTTGTCTTTTCTACCCTTTGCCAGAGAAACAAGTTAAAACCTGACACATGGCTGCAGAGTCAGCATAATTTATTATCATCGACGTAATAGCGCTGCTTAAAGTAGTAGTAGTAGTAGTAGTACTTGGCATTTCTTTGTGGCTTGAAGAAACCATTATTAGAGTCTCTTCCAAAAGTTGAGGGAGTTTGTCAGGTCTTAATCCCGCTGTTCTTTGCTCCTCCAGCTTTCTCTTTGGAGGGATCAGGCCTGAGCTTTGCTGACCTTTTCCGCCTGGTGGCTTTTTGCTGTATCAGCAGGTGAGTTTATCCTTCAACATGACTGGTCATTACAGTGAGTCATTTTAACCACACTGATGTGACTTATGTGTCACCTAAAAGTTAGATAGATAATTTGAAGAGGTAGACTGATATGTATATGTGCATCTGTATAAACGAACATACTTTGATATTATGGCTGCACTGCTGCGGCTACTTAAGCACGTTTTAATAGTCTTAGTTGCACTTTGAATACTTACTTAACCTTAAATAATGCCCACTGTCCTTTCACACACAATAGAAATGTTTATGTTGTGGATGAAAAAATATCTGAGGAAAAGAGAGGGGTGTTTTATCACCAACTTTGAAGTCTCCATGAAACTAACAGCTTCCTTATTGGTTTAAAGTCCATTAACTCTCCATTAAATAAAGTTTAAATGGAGATTTAATGGAGTTTTCTTTAGATGTTGGAAGCTCAAAGGAGACCTTGTCTGGACATCCTTTATTTAAATGTTATGGGATTCAGCGTCTTTATCTACTATTAGTGCCAAAGCCACACAGTGATGACCCATAAATGCTACAAGCCCCATTTCTATGTCCTGTGATGGTAATGGGTACAACATCTCATAGGATACATATAAATATGTCCCAAATGCAGGCTCTGCTATAAACATTTCCTATAAAATCCCTTTGCTGTAGGGAGAGATTTAACAAATAGAAGTGCAGGACAGATCTTTATTTACAAACTCTACCAATAAATCCAGATCCTAAAAAAACTGTCACAATAGTTGGTGTTGGAAGCACTCTGGTTTTGATTTGCACAGCAGGCATTGTTATTAACTAAAATTTCAGCCGCAATTTCTCTGAAATTGGCTGAACTGACAAAAGGAAAACAGTCTGCAGGAAGAAAAACAAAGAAGATTTAACACATTAGCTGAAAATCCAATCCCCAGAACCCATCAGCGCCCATCTGAAGACCATTAACTTTTTATTTATTTTCATAATCACACATCTGCATCCAAGTGCAGCAAATAATCCACTCTCAGACATGATCTTTAAACTTTTACTACATTTCCACTTTTTATATTGCTAACCAAGGCAGCAATTAAACGACTAGCATCAAAGGAAATCTCGACTGTGAGTCCTAGATCAGTAACTGTTCAACCCTGATCATTTGGCCGACACTCCCATGGGCAGTAAATTCTAAGGTTGGTGCAAGACTTATGTGACCAGAGGACTAGGAACCTAAGCTGGTATCCAAAATGAGAAGAGTTTAATTTTATATTCAGATATATAAGTAAGTAAATTTGTGCCAGAGGTGGAGTTAGATGGTTATTACCTGCGATATAAGGATGACAATTAGTAGGAATATTTTTGCAGTCAGAGTTTGATTTCAACATTATCATTAATGTCACTTTGTTGACCAACTGTTGCAGATTTTATGTGTTTATGTCTGAAATGATGTTGAATTGACTGTTCAGAGTTGTAGATTTGACTCCTTTTCAAAAAAATTAAACCCATTTTTCTACATTGTTTGTCCTCATGTCAGGGTGAGATCACTTTAAGGGATTTAAGAGCCTTTCTCTGCAAAACTGCCTTTAGGAGTTTTCCTGTAATTACAGTAAATAGTGAAATATTTTTAGCTTGGATCTTGGATTCAGCTTTGAAATAGTAAAATGCTCTAAAACACCCTGTAAAAAAAGGCACCTCAGGAGGAGAAGAAGGAGGAGGAGGAGGAGGAGCGTTTTACCCTCCGGCTGTGTGGTTGAATATTGGTGCAGCCAACACCGCGCACCCAGTCCAAGCCACGCTCCTCTTTCCCAACTCAGTGACTCACACAGTTTTAGGAATTGTTTTCCAGTGACTCTGCCCTCCTGTACTCACTTTTCCATTTCTTTGTTGACCAGGCCGCTCTCCTTTTTCACTCAAACCTTGACTCTTTTTTCCTCAGAGATGTGTTGCCCTTCACGCTGAAGCTCCCGGAGGCCATCGCATCTGCCAGAACTTCTGCTGATCTGGAGGAGGTTGCTAAACTCGGAGCAGGTTTGTTCTCTTTTTTTGGAATATTGGTCATGAAGTGGAAGAAATTAGAAACAGAAAATTACAGACAATGCATGAAAACAAAACAGTTCTGGAAGTGATGAAAAATAGTGGCAATGTTTGCAAAGGTTTACATACACATTTAATGGACAGTGTTGTATGATAATAACTGTATGTTTAATGTAAGCTAACCATATCATTAGGTGTTCCCTAGAGCATAATAAGTGATGAAATTTGGATGAGTAGGCCAGAGAGTCAGGTTAGAATCATTGCAGAAGTCTGATGAAAGGGTTAACACCTAATCCACGTAAAGCCAAAAGATTGTAGTAGGTCACACGTGCAGAGGTGTAACTTTGTGAGCTGTTTTTATTCCAAGTCTACCTCCTTATACCAGGAACTTCTGCAGTTTAGCAAAGCAACTTTAGCTCTTCTCTCAGCCTCTTGCAGAAAAGTTGAGTGTTTCCATCCATTCCATCCACATCTGTTATGTGTAAAAAATGAGTTTTTTTCCCGAGGCGTGACACTCGTAAAGCCCATCTCAACCACATTCCCCTCTGCTCGGAGCATTAACTAGCATGCCAGTGCTAAATGACTCGCCCCAAGGGACAAAAGCCTCTTCTAGGCTCTGTTCAGTATTGCTCAGCTGGGCATGAAGTCAGGCAATAGCTGGATTTCTCTGGGGTATTTTTTTTCCCTCCTCACAGCTGAGGATGCAAGATCTGTCTTTCTTTTAAACAGTGTGAAATGAATTCCAGGGTTACTACATCATAGTCATTGAATCTGTGTTTCTAGTAAAAAAGAGAGTGGGTGTTATTTTTCACTGCTTACCCAGTTGTATGAAATACTTCAGTCTTCTGGGTCAAAACTCCACAACTCCACACCAGGGACTAACTGATCACTCACGTTATAACACATTAATCCATGGATTCTTTTCGCCTCTGCCTGCTGACGCTGGCAAAAACATTAGTTTCCATCTGAGGCTGGTTTTAAGATTTGGAAAATAATGAAGGATAGTGGGCACAGATGTGAGAGCAGCTGGAGGAGCGACTCGGCCCCAACTGTCTCTGTTAGGGAACAGTGGAGCGACATCCCTGGAGTGGAGGTGAGTTGCAGAGGAGTTTTCAAAGGGAGCATGAAGAGTAGGAAGGCTGAATCTGTTTACATACAATGCTCATATTCTTTGCCATGTGGATGAGTAGAAGGCAATAGGCTGAGCTGTCAGCTGACACGGGCTGGCGTTGAGATCAGCGTGACGATTATCCTGATCAGATGATAATGTGTTGCTTGCGCACACACATTTGCGTAACTATCAACATGACCACCCACTCAGTATACATTTTCCCACACCTACAACTCTGTTTCCAAATCACATGAAGGACTTTTTTAGTCTAAAGATAAAGACAAAGCTGAGACAGAAATAGTGGTTTAAAAATGTGTAGGTGTCGTTGGAGTCATCTTCCACATCACTTCCTCTTTCTTAACCCGCTGAGTGACCTCTCCGGCCATTCATGCTCGTCTTCTTTGACTCAGCTCTGAGATACCATGTGAACCCAGGACTGACAGGCGCAGACTTCTAGTGTCCCCTCAACGTGACAGCTTCTTAAAGAGAGCCGGATGACATACAATGATTCGATAAAGCCAGCCTTTTAATGTGGTCTCAAGTGATTCAAAGACGTACATTATCTCTCTGTTTTTTCCTGTCTTGTGTTCCTCTATGTCTCCTTTTCTCTCTCATCCATTCATTCATTCACTCATTCATTCAGAAGAGCCTTCCTGTTCAGGGAGGTGACACAATGGCGGGTTTTGTGTCTGTGGAGCTGCAGTGAATAGTTGGTCTAAAGGGCCGTTCTGACGTACATGTGAACGTTAATGTCCTGAAAGATGAGAGGAGTGTGCAGTTGACTCTGACGTCCTCAGTGTTATATTACCTGTCATGTGGCTCACCTGTAATGACTCTGTGGTTTACGAGACATTTTTCTATCTTTTGTGGTGTGTTTTAAAGCCTCTTGTGTTCAGCGTAAAGCTGCTGGATAAAGTTTTATTTTAAAGTATAAAAGCTTGTCAGGGCAAGTTTAGTGTGCCAGGGGGCACTGAAGCGAAATAGGGCAGCGGGCCACTAAAGAGCCAACCAACCTCCCCAGAAACAAACAATTCCACCTTTGGTTGATTCACCAAATGCCTGTTTCCTGTAAGAGGAGGCATTAAATTAAGGTTACAATTTTGAAAATAAATTAAGACCTCACTTCATAGATGGTTATTTGTGAGCTTTGGTTGTGTTTAAAAGGGATGGAAATAAAGAAAAAAACAATTACAGAAGTGCTAATACTGCCGTCCATCATCATGGCTGCAAAGGCCCAGAAATCCCCATTAAGTCCTAAATCAAAAACCCTGTTTTAACAGCAGAAAGAAGTTTTTTCATAACTTGGTTCAATAAGTGTTTTTAGGTCAGCATAGCCCTTTTTTTTATTCCCACCTACCTTACAAGTTACGTTTTATAGGCTATATAAAGGGTTAGGGTTAGGGTTTGGCTGTATAAAGGCAAAGACTCATCTATAAACTTGCATAACTTGGAGTTGGGACACAGCAGGAGCAAAGTGTAGAAGTTTGCCAGGAGGGTAAATGCCTGCCTCAGCTGCACCTCTGTGCTTGTCTAGGTTTACCAAAAGTTTAGCTGAATCAGCATTTCTACAGTGACCCCTTGACTTCAAATGTATAGTGACGTCACAGTGACCGTGTCAGTGTTTTATGCAGTTTGGGGTTTATCTGTTGACCTCAGTCTGTGATACTGATTGAATAGGAAGGTTGAAACCTTTGCATGAGCTCTGGAGGTTCAACAAACATGATGAAATGTAGTGGCAGTGGAAGAATGTGGAGTTTTTTCAAGGATTCAAGGAACTTGATTTGTCATACCCCACACCTTTGACAGTCTGTGGTACGAAATTAGTACCCATGTCTGTTTTCAAGCCAAGAATATCACACAATACAATAAATAAAATACCATACAAAAGATAAGATACAATACAATTTTCTCCTCCCTACTGACAGCAGTACTGTCAGCCTTTGTGAAGATTATTAAGGGTTTTTCTTATTTTCATATTCAACATCCTGCTAGCCACAAAAGATAAACTTCTATAATCTTTCGTGGCAAGCAGCCCATCACCAGAGAGGAGGCAGACGGCGTCCATTCTATATACAGTCTATGGACAAGACACTTAACCCCTCTTTGCTTCCAGTGTATGTCCTCCACTGGTGTGTGATTCTTATGCACATGGCTTTGGATAAAAACATCTGCTAAAATGACATTGTAACAATGCTGTATGCAAAAACTGAAGTTCCTCGAGTGACCACTTGAGGCTGGCACCAAAAGCAGAGGGATCACTCTTACCATGCATGTTGAAAAGCCCTCTGAAATGGACAAAAGACACATGTTAGCAGCCTGTTTTCATTTCTGTAGCCCAGTTCTCTGTTTGCACACACTGTGAAAGAGGTGATTTTTTAAAATCATCCCATTTTGGGGATATCAGGGTTACAAGTTTAGCATAATCAAATAGCATAACAGCATAATTTGGATTTTCCCCCTGTGGAACTAATAAAGGTATATCTTATCTTAACTCTATCTCTTATCAGGCATTATTAGAGATGTGGATGACTTTGCTGGTAGATACATAATAAACAAAGCGGCTGAAGGCCCACCTTATCTCCACTTCTTTGCCGGTGTCTCGGTGGACTGAAAGTTAGGCTGAGTCATTCTTTTCCAACCTGGCGACTGCCATCGTTCGGTTTCATCAGTCTTCCTCAGAAACCCACAGGTGACGTCTCTGAGACTACCTCCATGTTTTACACAGTCAGTGCACATAAACAAGTGCATGTTTGTTTAAGCTGGCTTTGTGCTGTGAGCCAAGATAGTGATTAACTTTCTAAAAAAATACCCCCAGCTGTCAAAGCATCAAAGTCACTGACTAAATTTCCTGTAAAGTGTGCATACTTGATCTATTTTTGGCTCCTGTTCAGCTGCCACATCTCTCTGTGAGCTGCCCCCTGTTTATCCTTGACTTTCCCACTTCTGACATCAGCCACGTCAAACCACATTCCTCCCTGCTCTCTGTCATAGGTGTTTTTGTGTGTTTGTGTGTGTGTGTGTGTGTTAAAAGTATTTACAGCAAAGTTATACTGTGTTGGACTTGTGTAAATACATTTGCATGTATAACTTAATGAAGTAATCCTCTTTCTTATTCTTTTTATTTTTTAATAAACAGCAGCTTAAATACTTTGTTTACAGAATATCAGAAACAGTGATTAAATATCTGCAGATAGAGTGAGTAACACTGAAGGAAAAGAAAAGAGAATAAACAAGCGTTTAGAAGAAGGAGGGAAATAGAGGAATCTTTTGTCAGTGTCAGAGAGAAGGACACAAAGAAAGAGATCATCCAACTTCAATAGAGAGGGAGGGACGTAGGCGGGACTGCTGAGCCAACAGCCCGCCCACACACACATTAACACGAGTGAGTCATAACACAGACCAAGTGTGAGTGAGCCGGAGAAACTAGTGGAGTTTCAGCTTATGCAGACACAGCATTGTGTCTTCTGCAGTGACAAAAGTCAGAGGATTGAGTGAAATTTGACTCTGAACAGCTCGTCTGTGTGTCCACCAGCTCTGGGATCACAGTGAGTATTGTTGCCGTCTCTATTCTGCTGTGTAGTCGAGCTGTAGGAGCTGCTGTGTGTCTGGTACGAGCGCTTCTCATGTGCTATTGTTTTCCGTGCGGCTTCTCTGTCTCTTATGACCTCACTGTAAAGTTGTCACTGTAGTTTGATGCTGTTTCTTATTTGCATTTAAAAGTTTGCTACAGAGTCTCTAAGTTCATCGGCAGTCTGAGGTGTTTTTTTCCTTTGTGGCTTTGTGAGATCCTTTTGAAACAGCTCATAATTTCAGGGCTTCTCTTGGACTGTTTGGATTGGTCCAGTGACACGTTTCAGTTCGTTCTAAGCACCGTTTTCAGAATATTCCCTGATGTCTAGCTGTTGGCAAATGTGCTATTCTGCACAAAACATGGTTTTATTTTGAAGGCAACAATTATTTCAAGTTGCAAAAAAACTGCAAAAAAAAAAAAAAAACATCTGAAAGCCACCATCAGGTCAAAGATTTGTAGACACAACTGGGAATCTGATACTGACAGAGCAATGATATCTATCAGTAATGCTTCAAATTTTCATGTTGCTTTCGTCATATTGAAGGATTGGTCGATAATGGCAGATGCCAGTGCTGATAATGAGAGAGCAGGTTGGCTTATGGCTGAGTTATAATGCCAGTATTACATTGTTGTTGTTTTTGGCTTTGATGAAATACAGTATTTAATAACACAAACATATAAGACACAACATTTCTAAACCTGAAATATTTTTTTCTCAAATCAATACAGATGGAAAAATGTTTGCCTCAGTTAAACAAGAGACTTTTGGATTCCTGTCCAACCATGTGTATTTCCTGAAATCGTAAAAATACACAGTAAATATTTGAGTTAAAAAGTCCCATTTGATTTTATTATTATTAGATGCACATTACAACAAAAGTACATGATTATCTTAGCTGGTAAGATATTTACATCAGCCAACTGATGAATCGGCTGTCTCAAAGATCTGATGCATAATTTGGTGCTTCTGGCACACTGTGGGTGAAAAGACATGGATGTCTATTTTAACTCTCTTTTAAACTTCATATTTGCATGTAAAGCATTTTTAGTGCTAAAAGAAGTCTGGTGTGTAAAAACTGTTGATGGACACTATTAAACAGCTTTGGTTGTGTTCAAGAAAACAGGACGTATAGAGGGCAAATAATACATTTTATTTAAAAGCGCCTTTCTGGACACCCAAGGACACTGAACAGGCATTAAGAACACAGTTAAAACACTTTTAAAATAAATAAGCCCTGCTCCCCATGGTATAGAGGGCAAAGAAAACATGTTATCTTCTTATGGCAGCAATAAGGCTTTATCATTAATCTCAGTAAATGTCTGCCCATGAATACATGTGCTCAACTTGTTAGTAAAGCTGTAGGCGGTTACCTTGTGGATGGAAGAGGAAGTCTGTTTTTGGTATCGATGAGCCTCATGTTTTTAAAATGAAATACCTTCTGACAGACTTGACAATCAGCATTCACAACAGAGTTGAAGCAATAAGGCTGTTAGTGAGATAACCAAGTCCTTCTTTAAGATCTGGCTCCATGCTGCTGGAACCCTCTAGATGACAAAGGGCAAAGATAATTTACAGTTTGTGCTTTTATTATGGATCACACCTTGCTTACCTGATAAAGTAAGATGATGTCTCTCACTGTCCCCTGTAGGTTTCTGGGATTCTCAGTTGTGCAACAAGAGAAAGCGCTCAGCCTCATCAGCAGTAGTAACTGCTCCCAGTAGACCACCACCCCCTACTCAGAGACCGGTCTCCTGGACAACCTCCCCAGAGCGCCCTCGTCTTCGAACTCGCACTCCATCTGAGCTTGAGTGTAGTCAGTCTAACGGAGCGCTTTGCTTCATAAACCCCCTCTTCATAAAGGTTCACCAACCAGAGGGAGACAACAACGCCAATATAGATCCTTCTGGCAATGCAAAGCGAGGCCTGACAGAGGAACCTGTTACTAACGTTTCAGACACCAACAACAAGGAAAACTCCAAGGTGCAGGACCATTCCAGTGACACGAGCAGCGGGAATCTAAAGCCGAGTGCCTCAGATATCGTTCCACGTTCCCCACCTCCTCGCCCACCTCCGCCTCACTTTGCACTGCGGCGCTCAGGCCGTCTTCCTCGTCAGCGCAGCATGCCTGAGAAGATCTCCTGGATCAAAGTCCCAAAGGAGAAGATGGAGGAGAGGGAGAAGGGCAGCAGCCTCCTCTCTCGTCTGGGCTCCTCTTTAAGCATCAGTCCTTCGTCATCTCCACCCAAGAGACTTAGCATCAGCTCGCCAATATCCATCCCCCGGCCCACTCTCCCCATTTCTCTCTCATCTCTCTCCTCTTCACCTCGTCGCACCAAAACCTCACCTTCATCCAGTCAGGAGGATGCTCAGTGCCACTTGGCGCTGGAAGAACAAACTATTGAGAAGGCTCTCTTGAGGGCCAAGCTGTCCAAGCAAAATTCTTCCAAAACCCCCAGCCAAGACTCCAGTAGTCCCTCAGACCCCTCCCTGTTGACGTCAGGGAAGAGAGCAGAGCTGGCAGGTGGAGAAGAAGAAACAGGGGAGGAATGTAGCGGAGGTGGACAGCGGTTGAGTGACATGAGCCTTTCCACAGATTCCTCCGACTCTCTGGATTTCTCTCAGTGTTCGGCCTTCTTCCTGCCCCCTCTGCACGACCCAAGCCCCCCCACTGTGGATGACTTCAACACACACCTCCCACTCTCCATCCCACCATCTCCTCTGCAGTACTGCGGTATGGAGGATGATGATGATGAGGAGGACGATGAGGATGAAGAAGAACCTGACTATGGTGTCAGCCTGGAGAGTGATCAGGACCAAGACCAGGACTTGACCATGGTGCCTCCCGGTCACCGCACAAAACGCCGCACCAGCGCCAGCGCTTTGGTCCTGCAGAAAGCGCTGAAAGGGCATCTACGCAAGATGAGCGGCGTTTTCAACTCGCTGCTGACGCCTGAGAAACGGGCGATCCGCAGGGTGGTGGAAATGTCCAGGGATAGGGGTGCGTACTTTGGCTGCCTGGTACAAGACTACCTGAACTACATGGGTGAGGGAGGGGGCACCCAGGCCTGGCAGGGCTATGCCTCTGGACTGGAGCTACTGCAGACTATCCGCCAGTTTATCACTCAGATGAAAAGCTACCTACGACAGAGCTCCGAGCTGGAGCCACCAATCGAGAGCCTGATTCCTGAGGACCAGATTGGTGAGTACCTCCAGTTACACTTCACTCTGACTTAGTGATGGGCATGGCAGTTCTTTTAGATGTACTGAATCACTAGAATCAGTTCACTAAAAAGATTCGTTCAAAAGATTTGTTCACCAAATCACCAAATTATTTAGCGAGAGAAGCCGGCGACTCTGACCTCCTGAACTTATACACAGCTGAACATTTCAGGATTCAGTTCAATTCAGAGCTTTGTTCTACAAAAATGATTCCAGAGAGTGTAGTTCAATGCGTGATTCGTTCACCAAGTTGTTCAGGTGTCGGTGCATGTGGTCCCTCGTTCGCCAGCTGCTTGCCTGGCAATGCTGAAGTGAGACATGAACGAATCACTCAAGGAAGTGATTCGGTTCAATGTGTTCACATAAAAGATTTGGTTCTTTTGAATGAATCGTTCATGAACGACACAACACTTCTCTGACTCTTGACCAGTGGTTTCTTGTGCATTGTAGGCTGCGTCAATGTGAGTCAGTTGAGCGCTTTAATTACAGTAATTGAGTCTGTGGGTTGTGGGAGAAACATTTGGTTAACTGTCGACAAGTTGGGATTGCTCCATCTATGTTTCTACCTCTCCCGTATCTTGACCTTCACCTGAACCTGAACCCAACTATGAGGGGGGGTGGAAGTCATTTTTGTGTGTTTTTGCTAAGAAGTTGATTATTTTTAGGAAGTGTGAATGAGTGATGATTTCATGAAGAAATCTCACTCTAAATGGAAACACTATGTCACAGAAGACATGTTAAACGCACACACAGCAGTTTCACTTCGCTGTTTTTCTCGTGAGGACATTGGAAAACTTCTCCTCACGTGTTGGCATCTGAATGTGTGCTTGTGTGTTTTTTTTGTATGTATACCCCTTGTGAAGCAACGGCCTTCAGGGTGATCTTATTCACTTGTATGTTGATGTGACAAATCAGTATCAGTTTAGCAAAACCGGACAGGTGGGTCAAGTCTGTCTCGCCATCTAAAACTTTGCAAATCTGCTTTAATCCAGGATTAATATTCGCATTCATCTCCATTTAATAGCATTTATAGACATGATATATTTAATCTTACTATTATAGACAGCAACATAAAAGGATAAAACCAAACACAACTATTTCAATACATAAAGACTTCACACACCTGCCGGAAGAGCAGTCTGAATCATTGAGGCCAAGATTCAGTAGCTGCATCAGACTTTGGATGGAGTAACTTGTAAACAGAGAGCACAAAGAGGGTTTTATCTTAGGGGGAAGGCTGCTGTTCAACTAACCTGTTTCTGCTGGCCCCGGCACCAGAGGGCTGTAATTATGAAGTCATGAACATGGTGGAAAAACTTGGTTTAATTTTTCCCTGGTATGTTACTTTTTTAACCACATAAACTGTTTGATTTAAACCGTTTTCATTCTACTAAAACACTTTGAAGCTAAATAAGTTGTTCATAAAAAGATCATCATTCTCACTGAACATACTAGAACTGTTTTGCTTATAAATGTCAGCATCTGTTACTGCAAATTTTGAACACTTACTCTTCTAAACAGTCTGGAGGGTCACAGTCAAGCTGCAGAGTAAACAGGGAGGATCCAATAAAAAACTAGCTGTACCTATAATTTTAGTATTATGTGGTGTCCTGTAATTTTGGACTGTAAATGAGGCTTAGTCAATATACTATTTATCTATATCTTTCCAAATCCAAGCATAGCTCTGATTACAATAGAGTTTCTTTTTAAGTCAATAAAAACAACTACAAGCAGTTTTGGAATTTGAGAAAGAAAAAAGAAAAACTTAATTTCAATTTAGGAACCAGGAAATAAATCATACCACTAGAAACCTGAATACTTTCAAAGATTTGGACAGAAAAGTGTGTTTACTGTCTATACTGTCTACTGAGGCATTTGATGTCACCATGTTGCATAAAAAACAAACAAAAAAACCAACAACAAATAAGAATTAGATGATTAAAAAAATAATCATAATCATCATGATACAAACAAACAAAAAAATCAAAATTTATTATTATTATTATTATTATTATTATTATTAACATTTATGATTTCTTGTTGCTATATTTAAAAATAAATAGATTAAAAAAATACACTACAACTATTATAGCTATTATTATTATTTGTTACAGTTATTATTTCCTTATAAGTTTAGTGGTTGTATTTATTAAATTATTGAATAACAAATTACTTATTAATTGTTTTTTGTATTCATATTACTTCCTTTAATCTCCATCTTCTTTGTTGTTATTTTACATGGCAGTTTGGAGGTGATTGCCACATGGTATCTGAAGTGGAAAAATAAGTATAGAAGCAGCAGTTGCAGCAGTTTTTCATATTTCTGTGTCACATGTGGCAGTTGCTCCTCCTCCTTTCTGTTTTTTTGAATGGCCTGTTTTTCACAACAACAAGATCTGCCCATGCAGTTTGAAGTCTTGGAAAAGTTGCGCAAGATTTTGTTGTGGCATCCTCAGAGCGTGTTTTCGTGTTAGTCTCTGAGGTCCAGATGCATTTGGTGACTCTCAGCCAAGTTGTAGAATCTGTGTCCAAAAACCCTTTTAAACCGGCGCTCCAATCAGAGCGGGAGGGCAGAGGCAAGCCCCTGTGGCACTTAATTTGCATTTTCAACTTGGTATCTGCATTCATACGTGTTTTTTGCTTTCAAAATAAAGTCATTGTCTCATATAACCTCTACTCACAGTAAACTCACCGATCTGAAGTCCTATCTGATGTGAAGCAAAGGTAATGCAAATTTTAAAATATTTAGAGACTAAAGATTCAACAGTAACAAAAATCACAATCTTTAGGGTTAACAATAATGCTTCAGAATACAGAGAATAATTTTATCATTACTTTTGTTTTTGTGGTTTCTGCCTGGATCTTACTCAGCAACCCAAATATGTGTTTGGGTTCGGGATATTCAGACGGGGATGGGGGGAGCAGTGAGGAGTGGTAAGAGGCAGAATAGACTTCCTTGTTTTCAGCTCATCCCACACTGTGAGGCTCTCATCAGCCCGACACAACCCGACATCATGGAGCTCTGTTTATTCAGAGTGTTCATGTGTTATAATAAGACCAACACCTGGATTAGAGCTGTCGCTTTGCTATATGAAGTTAGAAACTGACCTTTAAGCTGCCAGGAGGAGTTTTTTTCTGAGTACAAAGTAATCTGCCAAAGTGAATGATTGAAACAAAGAACATCAGCAAGAGTACTGAGGACATCATTGTGGTTGTTTCGCCGCCATCAGACATTTCAGACAAAGTGAATTACCCCAGACTACAAAAAAAGGCTTTACTGGAATCAAAAATAGTGTGGGTAGAAATAAGATAAAAGCAGGGTCAGAGCGAGCAGAGCAGCGTCCACAGTAGAGCACTTAAAGCTTTTCACTGTAACCCCAGTCAAACTCAGTCTAATTAATACTCTCCTTAATACCATCAAAAGTCAAAAGTATTTCCATTAAGATATTTCATTCTACAAAACAAAATTACATCAATTAATACTTTCAATAAGCAAAGATGTATTGAGGAGAGGAAATTCATCACTTTAGGACATCCCCAGTATAAATGTTCTGACTTTAGCTTACGTTTATAGTAATCAGGGATAGTGGTTGACCAATTACAGTTTTTCAACACCTGATACCAAACTGATAATGAGGCTGCAAGACAAACAATGACCGATGTACTGTGCTGATTTATTTGCTTTTCCTTTTCTCTTTTGTTCCATATGACAAAATTCAATTATTTAGTAATAAAGACACAAATAAGACAGTTTTTTTATTTACTTTTTCTTTTTTTAATTAATTTACTTTAGACATAGACATATTTTGCTAAGCAAAGTCTTGCCATAAAGGAATTTTTATGTCTGTCCAGCCATCTCAAATTATAAAAAAAAGATCCAAGTTAAATATTGTAATTTAAACTTTTAAAAACTCAAATCCATTATTTCATGCACATTAGAATTAAATATTCCTGGATATGAATCAGTCTTTCTTTTATCAGGGATGCAACCTACTTTTGTACATGTATTTGTTATTGAGAGAATAAACTATTGTTGACTCGTAAACGCTTGTCCTTCAGCTTATGTTTTAGTTTGACCTGAGGAAATGCACCAAGGCTTTTTTTAGGGTGTGTATCAGTGTAACAGGAGGTAAGACAATCTGTTTATCAGCAGAGCTTCTTGTTCAGTGACAGGACAGATAGACACACTCCACCTCCAGATAACATCAGACTATTTTTACAACGGAAACCAGTCTGATTTTCTCTGGACATCTACGTGTGTGACTTTGAGCTTGAGGTATTTTTTCTACAGTGATTCTATCTGTTGCCCTTTTTTTTTTATTGTTTTTGTAAGACACATCATTTAGGAACACATTCGTCTGCCACAGTGGTTACAGTTAAGAGGACCACTTTAAAGGGAGATAATATACTGCATGTGAGGGGTAAAAGCGTCATTTCCTGTACATTTGTCAAAGAGCACAGAGAGGATGTTTGGTGGGAGGATGTTTATATCAAAGGGAAGAGGTCCTGCTTTGTGGAGAGCATGGGTCTGTGTTTGTGTCTTGTTGCCTGTTTTGGTGCTGTCCTTGGCTGATGAGTTGCCCTGAGGTAGTCGGACTCCTCTTTGTTTTCTGCTGTCTGTTTGTGACACAACATGGTTGACATTTATGTAGAGGTGAAACTCTAACCTTGTTACATGAATCCACTTTGAAGCCAGAACGGGACAGAAATGTCCAGAGGGCTCAACCATCATTCATGTCTGTTCCTCTGAAGTGCAGAAAACTTATGACTGTGGGGGAAAGTACACCCACGGTTCTTTTAGGCCCTTTAAAATGTACAGTTTTGCAGTTTTGCTTTGAACAGTCTTGTTTTAATGTCTATAAATGTCTCAGAGAGAGGAATGTTGAGTTTGCTGTTTTTAATGACTGTAACAACCAAGAGCGAGTCCACTAATTATTTAGCTCAGGAACAAGTATTATGTCCTTTCCCTGGAAAAGTTAGATCTATTTTTGTCTCGTTGTTGAGAAATAACTCAGCCAGTAAGTGTCTGAATATTTGATCAACTCCACATGTGTATTGAGTTATTATTGAAGCAGTAATACCTACCAGGGCTGAAAAGAGACAACATGTTTATCTGAAACTCCCTTGGTAATCTAAGAAGCATTGTGCAACGTTGAGCCACACCTGGCTGTGAGGTGGAGATTGTAACAAACTGATAAACCACAACACCTTAAACTTGTGTTTGAAATGGAAAAAGAGCTCTATTGGATGAGTTACTCAAAGTAAACAGTTAAGCCCGCTCTAAAGCAGGTTTTTGGCTTGTCCTGGTCCAACATAGAATCATGGTAGACCCAATAGACTGACTTTACTTCCTTTGAAGACACCAAAAAGTCCTTCTAGGTTTATAAAAACTCAATCAATTAAAGGTGCAGTGTGTGGTTTTCAGCCACATTTAGCTGAATGAAATTGACAGAAATGACACATGGTATTTGTAAGTTAACTTTTAATAACCTGAGAGTAACGGTTATGGTGAACTATGATTTCTGACACAACAATATTTCTACAGTCGCACAGAATAGACCACTTATTAACACACACGTTTTTGAATGGAAATTGTATTAGTTGAAAGATGATGAATAAAGCTGTTGTTGTGTGCAGAATAATTGGCATGAATAAATATTTTTGATGGAAAAAAACTTGACCATGGAGGATTTAACTTATCACGCATCACAGAAGCTTTTTGTCCTCAAAGACCACCGTTGATTTACCAACAAGGGGCTGAGCAAGGGAGCATTTAATGTGGAATCAAACTAAATATTGTATATAAACATATATACTCCTATTCTGTGCACTTTACCTCTAAAGACTGTTGCCATACATCAGAATTATTCACTTATTTTGATGTATAGCAACAGTATTTGAATATTTAAATCAACCATCTCTGAGGTTTGTGTTCTTGGCTGGATAAAAAAACATTTTTTGAATAAATTTGGGTTCATATGTAAAATGCTGACTGTTAGGTCAAACAATCTATCATTCAGTCTTGAGTTATACGACACAAATTGTTACAAATGTTATTTCAAGTCCCTTTCACAAAACCAGATACAGGTCTTGACTGTACATTATTAGAGATCACACATTAGTCCAGCCTGAACCATCGTAAACACTGATCTGCAGGCGCTGTGTTTGGCTCAGAGTGAGGTTTGAGGGGTTTTAATGATAATCCCTCGTCACGTGTAACATAGAGTCATAAAGCAGTTTATCAAGGCTCGTTAATGAGTAATATAGTGAAGCTCATTTAGACAAAGTCATAAAGTAAAAAATGCAGAAGCTTCTTGATCTTGAATTATTGTTTCATGAACCCTTTTCACTTCTTGATTCTCGATTATTCCATAATCACAGTCAGTGCGGTTTCCTCTACAGCATGTTTGTGTTTGAAAAGGTGCGTCTTGTGAAGTTAATGATACAAATGGATAATACTATGAGGAAGAGACTACATTTAAAATGCTTCAAGGAGGAACTTAAATTCTAGGTTTTACTGTCTGTTGTTATCATCTGGATTTTACTGAATACTTTTGATTCCATCTTGTACCTGTTTGGCCAGGGAGCAAAAAATACCTTTGTTATATAACTCTTGATGTAACAAAATCTTTGTCTTATGATGAAGATACATAAATATTTGAAGAGTTTGGCCTGACATGACCTCTTGTATGAACCAGATATAAGCAGGAACACTTTCTCAGGGAACATTTACCAAGGAAAGTGATGTCGACAAAGAGGTTGTTGTTTTAATCCTAATTAAATATAATTAATAATATTAATCAAATAAAAATATTGTTCCAGTATACTGACATAGGTTTGTAAAAACAGAGTCCAGCCCCTGTCCATCATATGAGCTGGTAAATAGCCTCCCTGGTTGTGCTGATGCCAGTTAAATATGCTTGGCGCCCTGTTTTGTTTCGACTTTGTTGTCTTTGAATGAGGAAGTGAGAATCTGCTGCCCGGCTCACTTCCTGCAAAGGTGAAAAGTGTGGTGAGGGAAATTTTCCATCGGAGGGGAATTTTGCCATTTTTGAGGCTGTGTCGTGTTCCTGTATTCTTTGGTGAATGCTGGAACAGGACACAGGCTTGGTAAATAATTTTAGGTGAAGTTTGAATAAACTGTTTCGGGATCATAATGGAAGAAAACTTCAGCCTCTAGATCAGCAGTTATCATTATTTTTTTCTATGTGACTGAAACAGCCATTACATTTCTTCATTCAGTGCTACTAGACTGGATAGTGACAGAAATGGACTTGAAAGACTAAAACTGGTAAATTAAGAGTTGACAACTTCCAGATTAAGACGGACAGAGACTGATTGAATACCATCCAACTGTGGTGGAAAGTAAAATCTGTGTCTGTAAATGTGCTCAGCTGAAAAAGCTGCTGACTTCACTCCTTTCTGGAGGAAAGTCAGCAACACACACAGACACACACAGACACACACACACACATGGTCCTCCTTATTCAGCAGAGCTGTGGTTTGGCCTCCCTCTCTGCATCCATCCTGTCTGTATCATGATATCATGGTATGTGTTAGACAGACTGCACGAGCTGAGCTTGTAAAAGCTCATGTTGACACTAGAGATTGTGGATACCCGCCCGACTACTCTGCAGTCTGGATTATACTGATCCAGCTGTGCTTTTCTGGAGCAGTGCTGTCATGGACAGGATTGTCCTGGAGTCTAAAGGTTAAACAGAGAGCTCAGGTTCAACTGATCACAATAAAAAAAAAAAAAAAAAACCAACAGAGGGCGAGAGCTGACCTTTAAAGTTTTCAGGTAAAGATCAGCAATGACAGGAACTCAGGAGGATAACTGAACAAGTGTTTAAAAACAGGTGAGACATCTTTAAAGATAAAACAAAATGCTACACTGTGAGTCAACCCGAATAAATGCAAATAAACAGAATGAAAGGGATTAAAAAGGGGGAGTTTTCAAGCAGAGACGTAAATTACAGCAAATATATAGAAGAAAAAGGATAAAAGCAATAAAGGACCAAAAAAAAAAGAGATTAAAAAAGGACATATTTGTCTGTCAACTTTAACAGCAAAAAATAAACACCAAGGCTCCTAATGGAAGAGTGAATACTTGGGACTAAAGAGGGTCAAAATGTTTACATCCAACTGTCTATTTGTCCAGACAAAATGACTTCAGTTTTCTTCTCCTGTGGTTCAGGAAGTTTAAGTTCAGCCATGATTTAATATCTTTCAGACAACTGAGCAAGGGCTGCAGTAACCCCTTACTTTTTAATCTTCAAGCAAACATTTGCACATAATCAGCAAAGCAGTGAAATGATATGATGTATAATAGGAAAACAGACCCCAGGGACAGCAGAGAGTGGGCCTAACCCAGATCCTTGAGGGACACCAGAAGTAAGAGCGGCCATACAAGAGAAAGATGGCCCCTCTAATCTGGGTCGAGAGGATTTCCTGATCATCAGGATCATCAGCAGCCGGTAAATCCAAAAGTACCAAAGTATTGGCATTTCCAGCATCAACAGTTAAAATTAGGTCATGAAAAACTCCTCAGGTTCAGCTCTGTGAAAGACAAACGGACTAAAGAGACCTGACATTTAGACAAATGTGACGACAGATTAAGATCACCACTGAGCAAAGTGGAAAACGTATGACTTCATAACCTTCCCACAGTGGGCTGTTATCAGAAGGTTGTATTTGGTCATCCTGCAGATATCAGACCAACACAGGAGGGGCAGAGCACTTCCTTCCACTTCATGTCCTGAAGGTGGAGGTTCAGGTCCTGTGATCTCTGTACAACTTTTGTACAACAGGTCCCTCTGTGTCAGAGTTTAAATTCTCTGCTTTGTTTCTGTTCCCTTCTTTCCTTCGGTGTCTCTTACAGACACACAAGGTAACTTTTAGCATTAACATGAGGCACACTGGGTCTTTTTTTGCCATCAAATTTTGATCAGGATTTCAGAAGTTTAACAAAGTTGAGAACTCCAGAAAAATACCATGTAAAAATGAGAGACCCAGGTGTCTCATAGAGACAGAGTGAGGTCATCTCCATCTCTCTGCAGCTGTTTTTGTAGCAGCTGTCAGGCAAGAAACGCAGTCAGGCTTTGTTAACAAGTGGCAAGTATCCAAGTACCTGATAGACACTGATACAGAGAAAAAGAAAAGTATACACATTAAAGAGGTTTCTAGTATTTCCCAGTTTGAATTGGTCAATTTTCTTTTATGTATATCATATCCGTCCCTTACAAAACCATAAACCAAAAATAATAAAAGCTCATCTTTGCTCTCTCTCCTCAGACCGAGTCCTGGAGAAAGCTTTGCACAAGTGCGTCTTGAAGCCCCTCAAACCGATAGTGAGCGCCGCCCTGCAGGAGTTCCAGGTGCGCAGCGGGGAGTGGCAGGAGCTGAAGGAGAACCTGTCGCTGGCCAAGATGAGGCAGCCGCAGGAAATGGGCGTGGCTGACACGCTGCCCCCGGACCCTATGGCCATAGAGAAGATTAAACACAAGTTCCACACTATGAGTAAACTGTACTCTCCTGAGAAGAAGGTGTCCACGCTGCTGAGGGTCTGCAAACTCATCTACACCATCATGGAGGACAACTCAGGTGAGTGATGGAGCGACCCTAAACCGGTCAAACCTACTATTTCAAAATCCTAAAATCAAGTAAAAACTTAATATTTGTTTTTTTATCCCTAAAATTTGTTTAACCCTAGTGGTTATAATTGTTAATTTTATATATTAGTTTAAATTTATCTACAAACTATTCTGTCTTCCTCTTAGGTCGTCTTTACGGTGCTGATGACTTCCTGCCCATGCTGACTTATGTGTTGGCTCAGTGCGACATGCCCCAGCTGGACAATGAGATCCTTTACATGATGGAGCTGCTGGACCCCTCACTGCTCCACGGAGAAGGTCTGTTTACATCAACAAGCTGACCTCAGTGTTTCACAGACACAAAGCTGATGAGATTTGTCGACTAAATCTCAGTTTCTGTACGTTTCAAGGTGGTTACTACCTGACGAGTGCCTATGGAGCCATGTCTCTGATCAGGAACTTCCAGGAGGAGCAGGCGGCCAGAGTGCTGAGCTCTGAAACCAGAGACACTCTGCACCAATGGCACCGCAGACGCACCATGCAGCGCTCTGCTCCGTCTATTGATGACTTTCAGGTAAGACAATCAGCAATCAGAGTTTAGACATTGCCTTCAATGTTTCTGTCCCTCTGAAGATGTTTTTAGAAAATATCCTCTGAAATGTTCACAAATGATAAATGATATTTTGCACCTGCACAAGCACAATTGGATCAACATTTTGATTATGTGTCAGAGTATGAAAGAGGTCTCCAGTGACATATGTGTTTGGCAAAATGATGGAGCAGCTGATGAGGACGAGGTCCTCAGCTCCAAGTAGAATCAGAGGGAGAACACACAGGGATTGCTTTATTACACTGAAATTTTGTCTTTATAATCAAGTTTAAAGTGCTATAAAATGTAAAGTAGATAAACTGATAGTGTATCGTGCACTGAATTCATTTGTAGTGTACTTTCACTTGAGGTTGCTGAACCACAGCACTTAACCAAAGAGAGAAAAGGAAACTAACTTTTACACCCTTGTATGCATTTGGAAATGAAACAGGGTTTCAGGAAGCAAAAAACAAAACTAACAAAGTTTTTTAAGATTTCATATCAGTTTTTATATTATGCTTTTGAAGACATACTCTTGTGTAGTGTAGTTTGGTGGATGAAATCAGTGCTGAGAAGAGTTTATGAGACTTTCTTGGAGTTTTTACAAAGTTGTTGACTCGAGTTTAGACTGAGAAGTTGAGCCGCAGTTTCTGAAAGTTCCTCTTCTCTGTCTTCCAGAACTACCTGAGGGTGGCTCTGCAGGAGCTGGACAGCGGCTGCACAGCTAAAACCCTACAGGTCCGGCCCTACGCCACTGTGGAAGAGGTGTGTCAGCTGTGCGCGCACAAGTTTAAAGTGTCCGACCCGGAGAACTACGGCCTGTTTCTGCTGATGGAGGGCAGCAGCCAGCAGCTGGCGCCAGACACCCACCCTCAGAAGATCAAAGCCGAGCTTCACAGCCGCTCACAGGCCACTCCCTTCCACTTTGTGTACCGCCGAGTGGCCAGCAGCAGCTCATCATCATCAGCTCCCCCTGATACCAGACCCAACCTGAACAACAACACTATGACCTCTGCCCCTAAAGCCAACCTGAACGACCTGAGCACAGACCTGTCAGAGCCCTCTCTCCAGCCCGCTCTCAGCCTTGGCCTCAGCCCCTCTCTGAGCCTCAGCGTGCCGCCCAGCCACCTCAACGGGAACTCCATATCAGTGTGACTGTCAGTGGAAGTCTTCTAAAAGAGTGAACAGAGTCTTTGTCTCCCTACTGTGACTCTATCTCCCATTTTCTCCGACAAACACGCTCCTATTAGACCTTAAAGGGCCTGCGTGTTGACAGGGCTCCTCTGAGCTGACCGCTGTGTCGTGCCAGTCTTTACAAAGCCTGACTTCTCCTTTTTGGATGACACGCCTGTCTCAGTCAACATCCCCTCGCTGGAATGTTTTGTCTGACAGACACGCGTGAAAGAGGAAAAGAAGAAAAGAGGGAAGGAAGTGAGAGAGATGGAGTTTGTTTTTTTCCTCCCCCTGGCTCTAGATTTGGTATCAGAGCGGCACTTTGCTGAAGACAGCTCTCTAAATCTGAACAATTGGTTCAAAGAGCAACATAGGGGTGAAAGTAGTGTAAAATTGACCTGAACACTAACAGGTGTTCAAAGTCCTGCCTTAATCCTGGTGTCAAGGTGCTGATTCAGGGTCAGCTGTTCTTGATGTTACCGTGAGGGTACATAATCTCATCAGAGACGTGTTGTTAAACTAATCTTTGATCAGTCATGTAACATATACTGCAGATAGTTTATGTAGGTGATAGGTTGAACTAAGATTGAACTGTTACAGTTGCTGGTAAACTGTATTTTTATATTGTGTGTCTTTTGAAACTGTTAATCCTTCAGATGGTGAACGTGTTTTTAGAGGTTTTAGTGACACCCAGTGGAGACCGGTGCAAATAACCATTTGTTATTTTCCGTTGAGTTTTATTTAAAGCCTACTACAAGAAGTTTTATGCTTAAAAAAAGAAGAGGAAGTTTGATTTAGGAAAACATGTGTAAAAACATAACTAAAAAAAGCTGCAGTTATGTTTTTAAAAAAAAGAAACTGCATCTAAATTTCTGTAAGTTTTAACCCATAGTCACAGGTGAGTGTTCGATACCAGCACTTTTAGCGAAATCTTTGTGAGAGAGACCGGTTTTCTCTTGTACAGTGAGTCACAGCTGCCTTCAGAGACACTATCTTCCCGCTGCCTTACTCTCCTCGATGGCCAGTACGACTACGACAATCCAATCCCCTATGAGGAGTGTCAAAAAGCAAATATCTCTGTAATTTAAAAAAAAATGGGAAAAAAGTAGTTCCAAGAAGAAGAGAAGATTTGACCTCTTTTTATTCTCCATTGCTGGAGCCAAGATGAACCTCCTTTCATGTCTGTCTTCACATCAGAAGATGATGGAAACATTAGAGTCTACCTTAAATCTGTGCCTCAGTGGCTTTTCTGTTCTTCTTTTTATGTGCAGAATTTTCTATGCAGTCAGTCGCATATTTGCAGGTAAAACCCAACATTAACAATCAAAGACACAGCATAAAACACTGCCTTTTTATATGATAATCTCAAGGATTAACATTTCAAAATATGTAAAAATAAATATTGCTATTGCATGTAGTTTTGTGTTTAGAAACAGGCATTTTTGCCAGTGTTTAGTGCTGTAACATTCATTTATGTATTTACTGATTATCCTGGTGATTTGACAGATACTGTTTCTTACCTGACACATGTTTCTTGTTATGGGTGCCTTTTCCATTCTGGTTGATAATAAGAGGCCGATGAACAAATGTGGATGGCTGCCATGTAATAATGATAGACAACTCTCTTTACTACTGACAAATGATAAGGGTTTATATCAAGGTAAAAGAATTATATGTTCATCTATAAGCAGATTTTGTGGACCTAAAGCTGGTCTGAGGTCACACACACAAACAAACACACAAACACACACACACACAGAGTGAAACATGCTGTAAGGCTCTTAGAGATGATTTGGAAGACAAAGGTATGTGAGGCCCCAGTTCAGAAGAGATGAAATGTTTTTGAGACATGCTCACTCAGCTGCACCAGTGTTGGTGTAAAAAAAGAAAATACTTGAAATTTTCTAATGAATTTTATAAGGTGTCAGTAGTTTCAAAATTGAATTGATATGCAGTTGAATCAATGAGCATCTTTGTTTGTAGCACTCTATTCATTCCTCTTTTACAGAGATGTGAGATGTACATGTGTGAGATTTGGTTAAAGGAAAGGAAAGTGAAAGTTTTGCGACTCTGAGTGGATTTCCAGTATTTAAAGCTCTTGTGAGTTTTGGCGCCCCCTGTGGACAAAGCAGTCTGCTCTTCCTGTCATTGATTGAGGATATTTTATCTCTAAATTGTCAAAACAGGACTGCTCAGCCGACATCTGCCCCCTCACAACAGTTTCAGGCATAAAAAATTAGGATATGTACATAATAACTATTGTTGTTAATGGTCTTGTTTGCTTTTAGATGTTATAAGAAGGCATTAATATGAATTACTGTTTATTTCATAACTGTCAAAAACATCTTCACAGAAGCCTTAAAAATAAATGCCTTTGTACATGTTTTGTCCAAATGACTACAGGGTGTGAAGGTTTTGGAAATGTTGAAAAAGTTAGCAGATGTGAGACATACTGCAGTAGCGCCAACACATTCATCAGAGCCTTTGAAGCAGAAATCAATGTGTCATTGCGAGGATTTTTTAAATCTGGAAATGATCTAAGGAACTTTATTTGACCTGTTTTATTTTACGGGTCTGTCTCATACTGGTTTAGAAAGATAGACCCCCATAAGTAAGACCAAGGTCCTAAATACTGGAAATCCCCTTTGAGATTTTGGAAGATTTGAGTGGCATTAAGGTGATAGATCAGCTGTGTGTAAACAGTATGTAGTTTATGATGTGTTTCTCTGAGGGCCAAGTATTCAAAGCTTGAATCAACTCGTGGTGTGATGTTATCAGTAATCTAACTTTTTTTTTTTTTTTTTTTTTAGCAAAGTGAGTATTTATGTGTCTGTGCGGGGATTTTTCACAGATGGCTTTTCCATGTCTAAAATATTCTATTATGGTTTCATGAATATCAACTGCATCCAGGAAATATCTTCCTGTTTATTCTCTGTTGTTATAAATATTCTTTTGCACTTAATAAATGTTGGAAAAGAAGCTGTACGCCTCTGTCTTTTTGTCCCAATTTGTCTCATACCAGCATTTTACCAGTAGAGGGCACTCTCAAACCACAGTTTCACTCCATATTTGTGGCCCAGAGTTAGTACTACTTTTAACTATATACAAAGACGTCAAGCACCTTTGTCCTGCAAATTAGCAAAATGTAAAGCCTCGCTTCATATAAGTGTGGACACTGTAAACTATATCTGTTATTGTGTTGCATCACCTCTTTATCAATGTTTTTTTAACCCAGGAGACCAGCTCCAGGATTATCATTTACTTAGTTTTGTACTTTCATGTAAGAGAAATGAACAGAAGATAACAGTTAGGAGTGACACTCAGGAAAGGAGCCTCGGGATCAAACCTGGCCTGTCTACTTAAGGTATAAGAATATGACGTGCATTCATATTTTCAACTGTGGACTGAAACAAGCCAGGTGGTTCCTCTTCTCCTTTTCAAATAGAGGATGCAGCATCCACAATTTATATAATGAATGCTCTTATAATACCTGGTTAAGTCACTGACCAGCCCACCTGTTGCAAATGATCCAAATTGGTTTGGTGGATGTTTTTCCTGTTTTTTTTTTTTTTTTTTTTTTTTTGTATTATTATATTCTTCTTTTTATTGTCATTTTTTTTTCTAAAACAAAAAACAGGAATTCAACATTCGTCATTTTTTCCACTAATGTCAGTTAAAGCTCCTGTAAGGAACTTTGTCTTGATGACGTGACACCACTTTGTTGACAAAGCAATCCTAACTTATCTTGTCCTCTTTGAGTAGTGTCTTCTGACATAAATAAATAAATATCAAACTTATCCTTCTGACTTCTTGCACCCAAATGTAACTTTTTTAGTGAATATTCAATGTAGAAAATCCCTAGTAGTTACACTGACACCTACCCTCTTGCACCAGTTTTAGGCTGTAAAATTTTTTTTTGTCCTATTTCATCAATCTAAAAAACTCCCCCTCTTTAAATTTAAGGATTTAAATTGCCTACAAAACATCAAACTCTGTTAATCTTGCACAACATCCTGGGAATGGGGTCGTTAAAACAGTTGCTAATAATATAAGGGAAAAAAAATCATTTTCGGAAACTAAGTGATAACACATCCACTATTCAAAATAGTTGTTCAAAGTAGTAATAACAACATGTCATACAAAACACAGCTGATTTTATATATCTCTAATTTTATTACACAAGCTTATAGAGTTTCTGTAGATAAGTGCATTTATGTACCACAGCTAAAACAAGAGGACAAATGATGGAAACCACAGTATTTGTTAAATCTATACCTGTTTCATTATCTAAATTTGCTGATTCATGGTTAAATAATAAACATAAAAGTAACTGTCAGTGTTACAGGAGGATGCACAGATACATTTTTTAGTGTTTGTTGTGTACTAATAAGCACATGGCACGGCTTTTGTTACCTTAAGCAAAGACAACTTTATTAATGCTCATATAGCAAAATGATCTCTAAAATTACATCTGAAACACCCAAACACAAAGTAAACCATTCTATCCAAAAGTTTTCTTGGGTAGAAAGAGGTAAAGCTCGGACACGTAGAGAATCGTATCTCGCAAAACTCTCACTCTCCACCTCTCATATCCTATGCTAGAACACAGCATGCAGTCATCTAGGATATCCAGTTCAAACTAAATCCAGTGCCGTCTAAAAACACGATGGACTCTCATCCCGAAGTACATCAAGATTTACCATAAATAATTTATTCAGTTGAAATATCTCCATGCGAGTAAACAAAGGACATTAGCTTCAGAGGTCTCAAACACATCAAAACAGAGGGAAGTACGAGGGAGACCTAGTGTCTATGAAAATATATTCAACAGATATACAGATTGAGACAAAAAATATATAAATACATGTACACCTATCTATCTACATATGTACATCAGCAATATCACCTATGTGAATATCACAAATTATTTAGAAATCTCCTCTACAAGATGCTTCTCTTTAAAATGTGAGCGTCTCTGTGGTAGTTTGGTTGCTTTAAAAGACATGGTACCCCATGTTTAGTCGCAGGTCCATGCAGTGAATAGCAGCACAGAATGTAATAAACCAAATGAGCTTTAAAGTCAGTTTTAAAACAATAAAGTGCATGATACAGATATTCTTTGACAAAAAAAAGATCAACTGAAGAAAAATGCCCTGGATTATAACAACACTGATAATTCTTCAAGACATTAAAGGATGATTTATGCCGTGTACTCAGCAATGTTTTTCCTCAAATACCAGCTTAATGTCTAACAATAAGTCAAGAAAGAGAGCTTATTTTAGCCGTAAATACTACTTCGTGCCTGAAATGCTACATTACACAAACTTAAAGGTCCACCTCTTCATTCTGAAAACAATGGTCAGGAGCATTTTGCAATAGATCAACATAATTAGATGTGTTGTTAAATTGGCCCTGTGGGTTCCAAATAAAACCTTACAAAAATAGTACTATGTAAGTGAAGCAGGTCCCTCAGAAAAACTACCTCTCTTTGTTTTCTCTCACATACCCTATTCCAGTATCCACCATAAAGCCTCAGCACTGACTCCTTATAGACTTATTATGTGGTCTCCTCTTTGCATGGTCCATATTTAACCATATTTATTTAAGCATTGAGCTGTGTTTGGGGGAAACTGTTTTTGGACATGACTTTGAGCCCATGCAGTGACTGTCACTGTTTTTGTTTTAGTGCAGTGCCACCTGAGGGCTTAAAAACCACGGCGTGTGCATCAGAATATTAAAGCGTATGTGAGAAACTTTCTATAGGTGTCACTTTAGTGCCCCTCTGTGGACAAGGTGATAACCTTCATTTCTTTACCGATCATATCCTATTAATGTGGAGGTTGTTTCCGTGGAGAGAAACAGTCACAAGTATCACTCAATATGAACATTTACATGTTTAAAAATGTTGATATTTTGCAACTGTCCTCTTACAATACATGTAAACATGTTAGTCGGACTGAAATCACACTAGATTGTATTTCTTGTAGCTGGACTTAAAGTGGCCTTTGTGTTTCACACGTGCATAAATAGCATAAATGCTTAAACTGGGCAGTAAACAGAACCATGACAGAAATCAAGGGATGGAAAAGGAGAACAAAGCTGTTACATCATTTGTACAAAAGGCGCAGGCCTGTAAAGTTGGTGTTTTCATTGCTGGACACACAACCTGTTAGCCTCTTACTAATGTATTTGTCAATTGTTTTGGAATGTGACATAATAGCCCAGCCCAGAGATGGCCAAATGGTAATAGGCTGAAAGGAGGCGTTTTAGCAGATGCAAAAACATTTTGATCAGTAAAACAATTCTTGTCTGGTCTTTGTAAACCACGTAAATGGTCCCTAGAAATGAAGTTGAAGTGGCTGACTGCAAAAGCAACCAAAACAGTTTCGGTCTTTATAGCTTAGGGCTCCCAGGGCATCCACTGTACAAGGAGTGAATTATTTTTTAGCATATAGTAAGGTTAAAAAATTGGCTGATCAGAAGCACGACTGATCTGACTGACAGGTGGGGCACACTGTAACCATTTCAGGGGGCTAAAGGCCATCTCGTGTAGGTCAACTGAAGGTTAGATTGACCTACCAGCATTACCAACCTATGGTGACTGCTGCTGATGGGCACAAAACTCTGCTTCAGAAACAAATACGTGATGCTACCAACACTATGTTCGATTATTATACAATCCATGATGTAAACTAGAGCGTGGACACTCGTCCGGTTAAACTGCCTAATCGAGCTCAACTGTGGCTCGACTTAGCTGTGCATGTAAACGTACTGACTGACTGAATCCTTGCTGGGGGATATGTAAACAAAGACTGTTTTGACAATGTGTTATAACTCACTTTGTCTGACACCTACCTGATGGCAGTGATTTCAAGCATTAGAGATAACTAAGAAGAAATGATCAACCTGGAAGTTGATGGCTTTGATGGAGTTTTTGGGGTCATGAAAATGCATTAGTATAAACTTCAGTCTGTTTCATAACTGGGTGTTAAATCTTATTTAAAATCAGTGCCTTTAACTTAATTATTATTATTACAATTCTACCAGGGAAATTCAAGGAATTACAAATTGGACCTTTAAATAGATATTTTTAAAAAATAATCTCTCTCAGATTTTCTACCCTGATATGAATGTTTCTGACCCTCAAGCTCTCTCTAGGCATAATGTAACTGAACACACTGTAATTTGACTGTGCTGTTTGATAGATCTGGCCTTGGTGATCCTGTAGGGCTCATATGTCAATAACAGTCCTGTTTTGTGATTTGTATAGTCATAGATAGATGGATAACTTTTTTTTTTTAAACAGTTACAAGCTGTTGCAGTGTCACATATAGAGAAACATCATATACATTTTGAATAAATCTGTTTAAACTCTTAAAAATTCATCTTTGATCATTAAAGCATATTTACATATTTGTACGGTCATAGTTATTGCGTTACATAAGATTACAAACATATTTGAACCCTGTTTCCCGGTCATAGCACGAAGAATCTGCCTGTGTCTGAAAAAATAAATAAATATATGTGAGATATAAACACAAAAGCACATTGATTACTTTTACATTCAAAAGACAACAGTTCTCTGGTTTGACATTTTCTATAACGGATCAATAAATTAAAATATACCTGATAGAAATCAGACTTCATTTCCACAACAGTCTTCCCTCAGTGAGAAAAAAAAAAAGAAAAAAAGAGCGGGGCACTTGACATTTGAAATAAACCTATCTAGAGGAAAAGCTGACATTTCTGTGGATTCGCCCTGACGGACAAGAGTTCACGTCTACAGGGGTGGAGGTCTGTGAGGAATTGTATGACTGCTGGCGTGCCTCGACTTTCATAGTGGAATAGAAAATAACCTGGATGTAGGGTTCACAAACCACATAGTACATGCTCTAAAAACTAGTGGGAATATTCATGTATCACAAACCTACCATATCGGGACAAAAGTGGACATCAGGCATTACAAAATACAAAGAACT